ATTTGGCAAAATTATAGCCATGGCATCTTTAAATATTCTCCTTTCCTCCCCTCTCTCTCCTCTACTTTGGGATTCCAAATATACATATATTACTTGAAGGTATCCTACAACCAATGATGCCCTTTATAATAATTTGTATTATATTCTTTATTCTGCTTTTATTCCTTTTTCTGGGTTTTATTTTGGATAGTTTCTATTGCTAATCCTTTCACTACTCTTTTTCTCTACAATGTCTCATCCCATCCAGTGTATTTACCATTAATCCCACCCAATGTTATTCCACTAATACCATCCAGCACATTTTTCATATCAGACATTGTAGTTTTCATACTTAGAAGTTTGATTTCAGGCTTTTTAAAATATCTTCCATGTCACTACTTAACTTCTGAACATATGGACTACAATTCTAAGAACTGATTTAATGTCTTTGTCTGCTAATTCTAACATCTGTTTTGGTTCTGGGTTGGTTTCAATTGGTTGGGTTTTTTTCCTTATTATGGGTAGTGTTTTCTAGCTGCTTCGCTGCCCAGTAATTTCTGATTGGATGCCAAACATTGTGGATTTTACCTTTCTGGGTGCTGGATATTTTTGTATTCCTATATATATCCTTGAGCTTTATTCTGGGACACAGTTACTTGGAAACACTTTGATCCTTTGAAGTCTCACTTTTAAGATTTGTTAGGTAGGACTGCAGCAGCATTTAGCCTACAGCTAATTATTCCCCACTACTAAAACAAGACAATTGTGAGTATTCTACCTAGTTTTCTTTAAATAATGAGAGATTCAAGTCTGACTAGTGGGAACAGGCACTTTTCCCTATCCTGTGTGAACATCAGGCTTGTTCCCTCTAGTCCTCTCAGATGGTTCTTTCCTGGCCCAAGGTAAATTCCTCATTGCACGGGTTGCTCAGTTCAGTAGTTCCCCCTTACCTGCAGGTGATAACATTCCAAAACTTCCAGTGGATGCCTAAAACCACAGATAGTACTGAAACCTATGTATATTAATACTATGCACAAATTTCTTTTTTCTTCTTCACAATTTCATTGATAGAAGATTCATTCTTACCACAGATCTTAGCAGCTCAAACATTTTTTTTCTTTCTTTATTAAAAACTTTCATCTTTTCACTCAAAAGAAGCACTATGTGGCTTCTCTTTGGCATATCTGAATTGCCGGCATCACTATTTTTGTGCTTTGAGGCCATTATTAAGTAAAATAAGGATTACTTGAACCCAAGCACTGCAGTACCTTAACAATCAATCCAATAATAGATATAGCTACCAAGTGATGAACAGGCAGGTAGCATACAGCATGAACACTAGACAAACGGATGATTCATGTCCCAGGCAGGACAGAGCAGGACACCATGAGATTTCATCAGTCTCTCAGAACAGTGTGCAATTTAAAACTTATGAATTGTTTATTTCTAGAATTTTCCTTTTAATATTTTAGGACTATAGTTGACTATGGGTCATTGAAAATGCAGAAAGAAAAGCCACTAATAAGAGTGGACTACTGTACTCTGATGAGTACTCTTCAGATCTCTGGAGTTCTATTTCTCCAGAGCCCTGTTATCTCCAGTACTTTATTCTGTTAGCTGTAGCCATCTTGGTCTTCTTGGATTCTTATTCAACTTCTCAACTCAAATAGTCAACCAGATCTGCCTATGTCCCTCCCCTCTATGTTGCCTGAACATCCTCTCCAGGCAGTAAGCTGAGGCAAAGGTAGGGCTCACCTTATTTACTTCCTGTCTCTCAGAGCTCACTGTCCTCCATTTCCTGATGTCCAGTGTCTGGAAAACCACTTTTTCACATATGTTGTCAGAGTTTTTTGGTTGTCTCAGGTGGGGTAAATCCAATTCTTGTTACTTCTCTTTGGCAAGAGCAGACATCCGTAGATTACCTTTTGTCTACCCTTTCCACTCTTCACAACTGACTTTTAAATTTCATGCACCAACATTCATAAATACTCCAATTTCCAGAATATTCAATGAAGGAGAAACTCCTGCTGAACTCCCTCCCTGGGACTTAGCTAATAAACATGCAAGGCCTAATTATAATCAATCATTTGAGAGACATAAAGGTGGTTATCTCCTACATCTCTATTAACATGGTCAAGTAACGTTAAGGGCAAGTTTGTATTTCTGGGCAACTATAGTAAATTATGGCAGATCCAAGAGCCTATGTTATTACAAACATGGCCAAAAATGCACTGAAAAGAATTCATTTGTGTGGTACCCCACAAGTTTCCCAATGCCAGTGGAAAATTTAGACACCAGGAGAATGCTGGCTCAGAGACCTAGACTTTCTATGTTAGTACATTTCTCCCTAGGGATAAGCAAGGTACTTTCAAACTACATCCATTCCTTGAAGTCAGTTGGAAAATTAGTGCTGCAGGGTATTAAACAGTACTTCAGCAGCCTTATAGAGATAATGTACAACTGTAATGTGTTCATTATGCCAGGATGTAATCTACCCTTTCAACACACACTACTTCACCCTGTGCATGCCTGGGCTCACGGGAGTTTGGGAATAACCAACTGTGGTCCAGTTTCCATTGTGTTTCTCTCTGAATGTTTACAATGGTACAACTATAAACCATAGAGGGTTAGATCATACTGGGCATGAATAGTACCTGGATACTCCCTCTTGAAAATCAGAGAGAACTGGTCACCAATGGTTCCCAGGGGTTGGAGTAGGCGTAGGAACATTAGAAATAGTTAAATGGACTCCCTGTGGTCTTCACATAATAGGATCCAAAAAAGAAATGTTTAAAATGTATCTAGTTATGTCTACATAGTATAAAAATATCAATATATCTACTGATATATATTCCCTTTTCTTAATTTTCTGAGGTTGGCTTTAATGACCAAAAAGGAAGGAGTAAGTGAAACTGATCAATTCTTTTCCACTTTATGCCACCAAGAATTAGCTTCAGTCCTGGTAAAGATTTTAGACTAAAATAGTACAAATCACTGAGCTCAATGTTCTAAGTTCTGTTGATACCAAAGCAGTGATGATGACTGCTGTCATATTAGTCAGTGAAATTAAAATGCAAATTGTTCATGCTTACGTTTGTGTACAAACTTGCAAGTACATGGGCACACCAGGCCCCACCTGAGGCACTGGAAGATTAGGGTTATGGAAGGAAAGAGGGTTAGACATCAGAGACGGCGACTTCTTTACTAATTACAGCCTGCTTACTGCCCCATGAGATCAAGTATCCTGTTTATTCAACAATCAAACTTTACACTTATTTGTACAATAGAATATAGAATCTATTTCATCACTTTCCCCCCGAAACTGTCTAATTCTTTTAGATATTTGGGAGTAATTCAGTTAAAGGGGGCACAGTTAAAATAAACGGACTTTATGAAGGTGATAAATTTAATCCGTAATGGCCACATGACAACATTATAGCAGATGTTTGTACCACAATACAAAAATGCGACAAGATTCAAGTTCACATATTACAAATTTGTGACTTGATTTATGCTGGGCTTTTATGTTGTAGAAATTTAGGCCAGAGAGCAATGGGCCAGTTGCCGGATGCAAGATGGGGCAGGTGTCCAGGTGCTCGGTTGATAGCTGACACCATTCCTCCCCTGTACATTTTCTGGCTTGAGTTGCCTTGACTTGGGTTTAATAAAGTCTAGCAAAGAACCTCTGGTATTTGAACAAACCTTACCCATAACAGTCTGGCTGAGAAACTGTCATTTTGAATTCTATTTTATCACTGTGTAATTCAATTCATAGTCACAATGATTCAAGGAGGGCACACTCATTAGTTAAGTGATTTCCATTTGCATAAGTGAGTTGGTGAAAAATTGCAGGTACATGTTCCCCAGGTATTATGTGATAAGTAAGACACCTGGAGTGAATTATTTGAATGGTCTTAAAAGGAAAGGTTTGAGAATTGATTTCATGCACACAAGTAAAGAGAGCACGTCATCATGGCTCAGTGCTGAAAGCTAAAGGGGCTGCTTCCTTTTTAATAGATGTGTGAAGAGTTATGTTCAAATTTCTTCTTACTCTTCAACCTGATTACCCAGAATTTATTCTTTAAAAGTATTCTAATCAAACTATTCAAAGAATAACTTAGCATCAAATATGATGCCTCCAGGGAGGTATGATTTAAACAGAGTCTGGGATTCCAACAAAAACCACTCCACAGAAACTTTCATGTTTAGCTTAATATTATGTCCATGTATGAAGGAATAACTAGGAATGAGCCCATGTGATAGCTGAAACAATGAGGTTTATATAAAAGGTGAGAGCAGGCTTCTCAATCTAATAGTTCAAAGTGTAGAGGGTAATATAATTTGAATGTTCATATTTTTAAAACAGTGGCAGGTTGTTTATGAAAAGGGAAAGCAATTCTCATGAAGCACATTACGGTGTAATCAATAGGCTCATTCTAAGTTCGGTTTTGGATTGTCACTGCCTTTAGGACTGATTCTTACTGGCAAACTGTATTCCACAACCAACCATATATGTTGCCTCCCAATATAACGCTGAACAGATTACTGGTTTCGCTTTTGTTTCAATCAAAAATGATAACTCATTCACGGTAAAAAAAAAAAAAAAATGTGAAAACTGAAAACACAGAACACAGAACATTTCCTATTTATGTCGCACAATTCACAATCAAAACCTCGTAAATACATTAGCAGTATGTGTTACTCCATTCCAGCTGTCCAGTCAGCCAGTCTAGAATGAACTTTTTATAAAATTTAAGATGAAAAAATGGTAATTGAGAAAGGAAAGAGTATAGAAAGCAGTTGTGATGAGAAACTATGGTGGAGGGGAAGAGATGAACAATAATTTGTACAATAAATTATTGAAAAAGGGATAATAGTACTCTTTAAATACAGTGAAGTGGTTTTTTCTCAGTGTATAAGAATATATTAACAACCACTATTTCAATTTTAGGTATGATTCTAACAAGCTTGCACTAAATTGCACATTTTATGGAAAAATGGAATGAGAATGATACTCTTACCATCTGTTTTCTTTGAATCATTTCCGACGTTCGAGTGATCCTTCTTGTCTGTCTTATTTTTACCATCTTTCAAGTCACCTGAAGGTAATAAACATGACAAACAGTGTATGTATACAGCTGAGGGGATGTTATAAACATCTTTAAACCTGTCAAGGTAAAAAAAAGTCATGAAGGAGTACATGTCTGGGTGTAAATATCTTTTGTAACCACGTGTTAGATCCTGGAAATTGGATTATGATTGGGAAATTGAGACTGAAAGTTCCCGTTAAACAGGTTTGTACTTAAGTCAATCATGTTTATCTCCCAAGAAAGGTAGCTCAGCTTTATTGTTGGGCTATGTGGTGAGGAAAAATCTGCAAAATGGGGATATTGATACCCACTTTATAGGCATATTATAAGGATAAATGCATTTAAAGTATGTAAGTACTGAATGTAGTATCTGGCATATCATTCAATGACAGTTATTATTTTAATTAATTATCTTGTCAAAGTGTAATTTGTAAAAGTTGAAAAACGCTACTCTTAACAAATGTAAAATGAACACATGACAAAATGTATTTAACCCATTTATGAGGGAACCAGTGAGAGAGTAGGGATGGTTCTAAGAGCAGTTAAGAAACTAGGTATTTCTAGGCATTTTAAAATAAGATTGCTAGGTTAGAGACAAAACTGGTTAGGTTCTACAGGGCAATAAAACTATAACCTTTGGGGTTATCTTCTCTAACAATCAAAAAAAAATCTATAAATTAGCGTCTAACTTTACAGTACCTATGCTGGAATCAAATAGTAAAAAGCAAAGTTATAAAAACAGCCACGTTCTTCAAGAGCAGGGGTCAGCAAATTATGGCCCCTGGGCCAATCTGGACTGCTGCCTGTTACGGTAAATAAAGTTTTATTGAAACACAGCCATGCTCATTCCTCTACACATTGTATATGGCTGCTCGCAGGCTGCAACGGCAGAGTTAAATAGTTGCCACAGAGCTGTGCAAAGCCAGAAATATTGGCAATTTGTGCGCTACCTCCTGTCTAAGATAATTTATTAATAATAATCCTTGGGCAGGTCTGTTTTACAATATGCCAGTGTGACATATGGAAAGATCAGGGACCCCTTCTCCCCGACTAATTTTCCAGTTTTGAATATTTTTCTTATCAATTTTACTAATGGCATTTTTTTTTTTTTTAGCCTGCATAAAACCAAGAATATATTACTACTCAAATACTGGTACTTAATGAAGCAAAAAGACTGTAATCATAATTGGAGTAGGCAGGGCTTCCAAGATGTGTGTGTGTGAGGGAAGAGATTTGTCTTTTTTCACTTTCTTTGTGCCAGGCAATGTGCTAAATGCTTTGCATCAATCATTTCTTTAACTTCTTATAACACTTCCATTATAAAGGCATATTATTGAAAGTAGACAAATTCGTCAAAGATTTATTCACTAAATGGCCAAACTGCTGAATAACCAACTCACCAAATGACTGAAAATGTTTTCCAGGTCTGAGTTTTCCCTGACGTCACTGCAGCCCTATGGGCAGACACTGGCCGGTCCACCTATGCCGAGTGGCGTGGGCTGCCCACTGGTACGTGCTTCACACGCATGATGGACTCGCACCTGCATCTCCCTCTGGCAGCAAAACCGCTCCCGTCAGCTACCATGGATCTGGTTTAAGCCATTTGTCTAACAGCTCTTGAACAAATGGCCAATTGATCTTCCTGGAAAGTAATTTCGCTTAAGTTGACTTGTCGGGAATTGACCTGAAACTCATATGATCACCTCCATTTTATGGCTGAGAAGCCCAAGGCATAGACAAAGTAATTTAGCACAGCTACCCAGATGGGCTGATTCTAAAAGCCGAGCTCTCTACTATATTTACAACTTCCCTACAAAGCTCAAGTTTTAGATTTCAGACTTCTGTTTACTATTTCCATTTCTAAATGCCTTTGGCCTATGAATCTATAAAGAAATAATTATCTAAGGATAATTCAAGACCATTTTTGACTGTGACATATTCTACAAAGCACACACTTTTAACGGAGTTTGACAAATCCTAATCTAAGTTAGAAGTCAATAACTTAGTCAATAACTTCCCGGGTTTCCTCTCATTTCTAATTCTGAAATGGGATGAACTGGCTAGAAGGATTGACGAGGGGAATCTACTATGGTTGGGGTGCAAACAGGAGGAGTTTAAGTGGAGGACACAGTCATCCCCCTCTAGCCAAAAGAGGATTCCTTCAGCGTCCATGAAACAGTCCAAATACTGGCTTTTCCATGTTTTAGGGAAGCCAGAGATGAACTCAAAGATCCTGAATCTTAAGCCCTGTAGTCAAACTACTTCCTACTTCCCTAAGTGAGTCTTCACACCCCTAATTCACTCTATTTTAAACATTTCGGGTTGCTCTGAACTGAAGCTTTACCTACAGTTGCAGCAACACCAGATGTCTTCTGGTTCAATTTGCTAGATGCTAGCCAGTAGCCCATGGCAGCCTCTCTTCTCAGCCAGAGTTGAGGCGGCTTTGGGAGGAAGTAGTCTCAATGGAGAGGAAAGCTTAGAGGATCCTGTAATTGCCAATAATGGCCCAAACCTCGAGAACTCCTCTAACCAACGTCCTTCAGCTCTAACCTGGAAAACATCCCAGGCAGCCTACAGAGAAGGGTGCCGGGAAAGTGACACATGCTTGTTTGATGACATTCCTTGAGCAGAACCCATTAGGTAATTTCCCATGGGTTGTATGGTGTAATGGCCAATGTGAGCTATTACTCAATAAACGGGGGAAGCAAAAGAACCTTTCTGTGCAGTTATAAATCATTTTAATTAGGCTGCTGTAACACAGTCCCAAACCACCATTAGCCTTTCTTATTATTGCTCTAAATTGATTTCTTTTCCCACCTCTCATTTAATACTTAATTTTTAAGGGAAATGGTAGACTGTTGCTTACTTTGGGAAAGAAACACAGTTGTGAAATCAGGCCAACCTAGTTGAAGACTCAGGCTTCTGTTTTGTTTCTTTTAGGCTCTCCCCCAATTGACTTCAAAATAAATTATTGCCACCTCTGCCCTCTTTGGGTCCTTATTTATACCTCTCTGGTAGGATGTATAACCTTCTTTGTGACTGGCTTATTTGTGTTCATTGGTTTCTCTCACTGACTAGACCAAGGGTTGGCAAACTATGGCCCATGAACCAAACCTGGTCCCACTGCCTGCTTTTGTATGACCCACAAACTAAGAGTGGCTCTTGCATTTTTAAATGATTGGAAAAAGATGAATATTTACTGGTATGTGATAATTATGTAGAATTCAAATTCCAATTTTCATAAATAAAGGTTCACTGGGACACAGTCTTGCTTATTGGTTTATGCATTATGTGGCTGCTTTTACAACAAAATGGCAACGCTGAGTTGCTACAACAAAGACTCTATTTTCCATACAGTCTGAAATATTTACTATCTGGCCCATTACAGAAACGGTGTGCCGACCTCTGGAGTAGACACATTATAAGCTTCTCATGGACAGCAGTTAAGTCTCCATATTCCTCCAATCCCCTCTTCCCTCTGACAGCACCAAACCTAGTGGGGAAAAGCTGGTTATGGAATAGAGAATTGAGACTCACATACAACTCAGAGTAACTAGAGATCTCTGCTCAATGGTTGTTTGACCTTACACAAGTGATTTAACCTTTCTGAGTCTCAATTTCCCCCTCTGCAAGATAGGAATGAGTGTCTCTACCTCACAGAGTTGTTAGGATTTTTAAATGATTCCATGTAGGTAAAATCTCAAGTGTAATATAATGTCTGGTACATGCTAAGCATCCAATAAATGATAATGCTTTTATGATCACTGCTTTTATTAAGGGAAAAGACATTTTTAGCCCACTCTGCTAAAATAACAAAAGGAAGGAAGAAACACATCTTGCCTCTCTCACCATCCCTCACCTACTCCTTCGAGAGGAGGGATTTATCTAGGAGGTGAAGCCCAGCCCAGCCACCCACATCCCATCTCCTTTTGAGATGTGTTTTCTACAAGACATGCACCTTTTCTGTCACTCCAGAAGCAGCCTGCTGGGGCGCTGGGGGCGGGGAGCCTGTCCTGCACCTGCCTGGCTCTGCCATGTCTGGTTGGGGAACCTCAGTTCAGGGTAGATATGTGAAGAAGCCCATGTGCCCTGCAGGCCTGGTCTGTGTTTCCCAAGTCAACTCCAGTTGCTGTGGAGCTGGTATCTTGATCACTGGCTTTCTGACTAGGGTCTCTGTCTCTCAATTGGTTCAGACCTCAGGAGGGGAAGCGAGGGGTGTCTTGCGCTGCCCTCTAAATCTTTAACAGGGGCGCCATAAATTCTTATTCAATTAAACAATTTTTTTTCTGGACTATGATGCACTTGAGTACAAAGTAAAATAGTTAAGAGCAACCAGAAGAGGGCTGAACAAGTTGGGATCATGACCTTCCCTGCCTCCTAACGTGGTCAATCAGGGTTAATGGGAAGAATTTATGCAAAGTTCTTGGAATGTGATATGAGCTATTATTATTATATGTATTAAAATATCATTCTCTGATCATACAAATTACACATGCTGGACTGTAAGAATAATTGGAGAACGTCGTGCTAAGCACTTTTACATGTAGAAATCATTTACCGAGGCCCTATAGCATAATAGCTAGAGCACAGTTTTGAGATCACCTGGCCCTATCAGGCAAGAGAATGAATATGTAAAGAGAGAACTTAAAACAGCATCTGGTGTGTAGTCCCCAATTTGTTGTTATTGTTTTGTTGTTTTTACTACCATGATTATTACTGAAGGCTCCAGGAGGCCTGTGCTATGAACAGGTATCACTACATATCTTGTACAGGGACAGCATAAGGTTAAGTAACCTGGCTGAGGCCACCGAGAAGGGAGAGCCACAGCTGTAACCTGAGTCTAGGTCTGTTTGACTGCTAAGCTACCTTGTCATCAGGCCACAACCTGGCACTTGCAAACTCCAGTGACTCTGAACTTCCTACCCATCCTTAAACAAGGGAACCAATTCCATGCCCTGTGCATTTGCTCATCTTGTCCTCTCTCCTGAGAAGTCTCTTTTTCCCACCTGACCAGCAAATGTCAGTATTTAAAACCTAGCTCACGCAACACTTCCTCCTGAAGCCCTCTCTGACATCTCCCCATCTCACAACCCCCAATCTGAACAAAGATAATGTCTCTTTCTTTACACATGTTCCTTGGGCATTTGATCTGCCATGTCACTACTGTTACTTGCTCACGCTTCACTAGAATTATTTTGCGGACGTCCATATCCCCTAAGAAATCATGGGCTTCTTGTGGCCTTTCCATTTCTAAATCCCCAGTGTCAAGCACAGTGCTTGGAAAATGTTTGTTAATCAATATTTGCTATGTTAAATATTAATATAAGAAATCAATAACTACATGCACAGTATGGTGACCAGTTCATCCAGCTTGCTTGGAACTTTTCTGGTATTAAAACAGAAAACCCTGTGTCCCAGGAAACTCCTCAGTCCCAGGAAAACTGGGCTGGCTGATCACCTTGATGTATTACACTTATTCAGATATAGACACATGGACGCATACTACAAGAATAGGCCTTAGGCAGAGCTGAGGCCTCGCCCTTCTAGGGAGATGGTACATACTGGAGACTGACTGTCCACCCATCTGGGCAGTGAGCACTCAGGACTATGCTGGGATTGTTAATGTCCTATTAATAGTAATTTCCACCCGGTGGGCAGGCAGGCACTGGCTAGAGTCTCCAGGGCAGCTGGGAAGGGCCAGAAAGGTATAAATCTCCCCAGAGAGGATGACACACATGAGCTGGTGGCTGTTTCTGATGGGATCCCGATGGCACCCACGGCCCAGGGAGGTGGGGTCAGCAGGAATCGGATGAGCAGGGAAGCCTCCCTCTGTGGGCTGCTGTTGTGGGTCAAGCTGTTTGCCAGTTTCCATTCATCATGTCATTAACGCCCGGAAAAGAGCCTTTCACCGGCTCAAGTCTACCCACCATTCTGTTGCTTTTCTCCTGACGACTTCTCAGCTTTGGAATTTTTCCCACGAGGGTTGTCACTTTTGTTTGTGCGCGTTCCATTGACTTGATTCTTAGCGTCTCCAGATGTCTTTTTCTCAGCCTTGCCAGATGTGCCTTCTTCAGCCTGGCTTTTGGCTTCCATTTCCTTCTGCTGCTCCTCCGCGGCCAGGCGAGCCTTTTCCTCTGCTTCCTTTTTGGCCTTCTCCTCTGCATCCACAGCCAGTCAGGAAAGGCGCAGCAAAGAGCAAAAGAGGTCACGCCATTAGGAGAATTACCTCTTTGAATACACTAAAGGGACCGGTTATTGAGTATTTGGGTATACTGTTGGTTAATTCAAGTCAGATTGGCATGTATTAATATATTTAGGAAACCAACAAAATAGGTTCATGATGATGCCATTTCTGAAAACAGTTAAGTTAGAGGAGGAGGCAGGGAGAAAATAAAAATAAGGATAATAATTAATAAACCAACATCACAATTGTATTATTAATATTGTAATTATCAATAGCTTCCATTGCATGTGTCCTCTGTGCCAGGTATTATGCTAAGTGCTTTTCAAGGACTATTTCTTTTCATCCTCAGAACAATCTTCAAGCAGCTACTATTACTGTGACCCTATTTGACAAATGTGAAAATCAAGGCTCAGAGACATTACAAAAACTTTCCCACAGCCACAGTAGAAATTGGAGTTTCATGTAGGTTTGCTTAAGAGTTTAACCATACATAACTGATTACCAAAAAGAAGTCAGGAAAAATAACCACCACTAGAAAAATCCACGTTCAGGACACTGTGAATCTAAAGGTAGGAAGAGGATAATTAAGCCATATGAGAAAAACATGGTCCTCAAATTGTGCACAAGATGAGAGGTGGCCTTTAGTTTGGTCAAGTGCCTGGTCTGTGTCCTCCCTTTTGATGAGATGTCAGCATTATTTCCAATTTGACAGATTATAAAAGTGCCTGGCTCTGAGCTTAATCAAAAACACAGCATAATTGCACAGGTCAAGTGTTTATGAAAAGACTGGTTAATTCATCCGACTCATATTTATTGAGCAGCTATAGTGTCGAGCACTGATGCAGGTACTGGGAATACAGCAGCAATCAAGACAAACATATGGAAAAGACCACAATTAGGTAAACAAATGAGTAAGATAACCTCAGATTGTGAAAAGCGCTTTGCAAAAACTTAAGCAGAGTAATATGATAGAACATAGGGAAGGGAGGTAGCAATAGAGAAGAAAGCGGAGAAGGCTTCCTCGAGAAGGTGATATTTGACCAGGTCCTCAACAATGAAGAACTGGCCGTGTAATAATCGGAAGAAACAGCATTTCAGGCAGAGGAACCAGAAAATGCAAAGACCAAGAGGCAGGAATGAGCTTGGTGTATTTAAAGGACAATAAGTTAGCCAGTGTGGCTAAAGAAAATTTGGCAAGGGATTAGTACCAGATGCTGTCTTTGAATGACCAAGAAAAAAGGTGGGTTCAGATCCTTCAGGGCCTTGGAGGTAACAAGGTAGAGCTGGGTTGTAAAGAGTAACCCTGATAGAAGGCACCCAACAGAGACCAGAGCTGCTTACGTTCTAGAGACTCACCCCACCTAGCTTTCAATTCACTCAAAAGGCCTTCCAGCCTGTGCCATCAACCTCCACTGGGAAAAGCATTCTTGCATTTTTCTCTAAATGTGTTAAACATGTCTGTCTTAGTCAGTACTGTGTTGCTTTAAAGGAAATACCTGAGACTGGGTAATTTATGAAGAGAAGAGGTTTATTTGGCTCACAGTTCTATATATAAGAAGCATGGCACCAGCATCTGCTTCTGCGGAGGGCCTCAGTTCGCCACTTCTCATGACAGGCGGTGAAGGGGGAGCAAGCGTGTCATATGGTGAGAGTGGGGAGCAAGAGAGATAGGAGAGGGTGCCCACGCTCTTTTAAAAACCAGCTCTTGCATGAACTAATAGAGTGGGAATTCACTCATTACTATGGGGAAGACACCAAGCCATCATGAGGGATCTGTCCCCATGACCCAAACGCCTCCCACTTGGCCCCACTTCCAACATTAGAGATCAAATTTCAACACGAGATTTGGAGGGGACAAACATCCAAACTACATCAATGTCCCACACCTTAGCATCAGGGGTCCACTTTATTTCCCTTGTCCTGGTCCTGAGAAAAAGCCAGCTGTCATAGATAATGTGTTTACTTGTAATCTAATGGACACCAGAGTGTTTATGCACCTGATCACATTTCCTTTCGTTTTAGCTGCTAAAGAGCTCAAAGGCCAAATTTGGTCCAGGTTCCCATGTTCACGGGGCTTTACGTCATGTATTTTGTAGATATCTCTGATGTCTGGCTTTATTCTACTTTTCCTGCCCTCACATTTGCTTACCCAAGGTGTCTTCCTTAATATATTATGAAGTTTTCATCCATCCTTTCATTCACTGATCCATCCATCCATCCATCCAAACCAAATGCCCTGGCCTCACTCCAGACAAATCAAATAAGATTCTGGAGGGAGAAGGGCAAGAATAGGATGTTTTAAATGTTTTCCAGATGATTCTAACATGCATTCAGGGTGGAGAATGACTGATTTAAATTTTAAATGTTTCTATTCAGTATTTCATGACACTCTACTTCCAAACAGGATATATTTATAATTTACATTGGAAAAGTAAGGAAAGGTTTCTTTACAAATGACATAATTATGTGCATGTTTAGTGTAACATGACTTCTACAGAAAGGGACAACCAAAGAAAGAATGCTTTGCAGAAGATGATGAGACAGCATCTTTAGCAGGGTTCAGGGCCACACTCAGAAGGCCCCCTAGAATGTTCACTCAGGCTTTCTCTCATCCTTCCTCAGTGCCCTGGGGACAGGGTTCAAACGTGATCTCCACCACCGAATTCCCAGTGTGTGGCACAGTGCCTGGAAGATAGCATACACTCATGAAATATTTGTTGACTAAATGAAATGTACCCCATGAGTGTGATTTCCCCTATCTGCCAGTGTAACCTTATTGTACATATTCCATCTTCAGCAACCTGGGCTGGCATAATATAAAATGTATACAAACTCTCAAGTCTTATTCTGAAAGAGTTAGCCATTTGACAAATGTCAGTTTCCTAGTTTCCTTAACTGCTAATGTAGGTGAGTAAAAAGATGACTGTTCTTACTACAGAGAGGGAAACTGAGGCAAGGCGGAGGAGAATTCATTCATGCTCAGAATCTGGTATTTACAGAGGCTTATAATTCAAAAAAACATAAAGGCAATTTTTGGTTAAATAAAAACAGGATGTATAAAAGAGACCATAAGCAAAGTTAAAGGCATATGACAAACTGGAGTCGGGTAGAAATTGCAAGATATTTTGACAACCGTGAAGAATTATCACTTCCATTTATAAAGAATTATTATGAATAAGAATGTAAACAATCTAATGGGAAAAATGAAAGGGGAGTAGAGAAATAGACACTCTGCTATACTTCTAACTGGGAGAGAAAATTGGTAAAAGAAAAGTCTCGAGAGAAATTTGAAAATACATATCCAGGGCTTTAAAATTTTCATCTGCTTTGACAGAGGAATGCCACATCTAGGAATTTATCCTAGATAAATAATCAGAAGTAGGCTCAAAGACTTTTGAACTTGCATGTTGATAACATTATATGAAACAATGAAGAGCTGGAAACCTAAACGCTCAGTTACAGAGGAAGGTTCAACTACGGTATTCCATACAACGTGGCCATTAAATCAGAATATTCAGTATCAGGATAAAATACTCAAGACAGAAGCGGAAAAGCAGAATACAAGACAATATTATATTATGATCCTAATTTATGGGGAAAATTTTTACTTATACATAGGCAGAGTAAAGCAAATTAAAAAGAATTACATCAAATTTTAACAATAGTTATATATGGCTGGAGAGGTCATGCATAGTTTTTATTTTCTTTTGCATATATATTTTTTATATTTCTGCATTTGTAATCTAAACACATTATTGTCATACCAGAAAGTAAATGTTAAAAAATTATTAAATGCTGAATGGAAATTAATCAATCTTGATCAGACTTGCAAATTGTTATACTCAAGCATAATTGGTTGGGAATAATGATTTCTAGCTCTAAGAGCTACAGACAAAGTCTAATTTAATCTTTCTTAATAACTATGGATTCTGGCCTACCTAGCTTTGTAAGTCAGGTTGGATAAGAAAACCAAGATCCATTTTTGATCAGTTTAATAACAACACATGTTCAAGTGCCCCATGCCCCATGGAAGAAAGGCTTTCTTGAAATCAGGGTACTCTGGAAAAAAAGAGCAATGAGCAAAATAGCCTGGGAGAATCCAGTGCAGACCAATAGAAAACAGATATAGACTGGATTTCTTATTAGCAACAGGCAACCAGTCAACAGCATCACTGGGAGACTGAGAATGTTATAGGAGATTAGGTATAGGTTGGTATTTTTACCACCAGCTTCTTAACTTTGCATGCAAACTTCTAATCTTCTTTTCCAATTTGCATAAATAACAGCTACCACTTATTAGGCTCTAGCCATGTGCAGGCTCTGTTCTCAGTGCTTTATATATATAATTTCTGTTATTCGCATCAACTCTGTGATATGCATCACCATCTCCAAAATGGAGTCTCAAAGAACCTATCTGAATTTGCCAAAGAACACCTTGCAAGTCAGGATTCAATTCTCCCTTTCCCCCACTAACTGAAATGTGCATTTATAACCAAATTATCTTCCCCAAAATATCCATAACCCAGGTGATGCACCTTTGTCCACCCCTTTTCTCCTTCTTTCCATTTCTAAATGCAACACCTCCTTCAGGTCTTCACCCCAGGCATCCTTCTGTACAATGCCTTCCCACGCACCCCAAGCACTGTTAGAGACAACTCCTTCTATGCTTCCAAAATAGCTTAAGCACACAGTATCTCTATCTGTATACCTAATACATTTAAAAATTATTAGCTGTTTATTTACCTATCCTTTTTTTAAGGGCCAGTTTTGCCCTAGAAAATAAATCATCTAATGTTTCCCCCAGTGATTAGTTTCAGAAGGTAATTTTAGTAACCCAGATAATTGCAAACAAATTATTTTGAAGTACCTCTTTAAATTGCATGTTGTCAGGAATTGGATTTTCAAGTGTAATGAGCATAATTGATTACAAGGGAGTGCTTCTTTTGAGATGATGCAGTAGCTGCCATCGCTGCTTGCAACGCCTGCCAATGGGGAGGATTTAAATGTTTAAAGCATTTGAATGGACTGGGAGAGGGTATACTTAGAATACGGAAGAGGCGTTGGCTCCCTCCATAGCTCAGGGTGCAACATCTGTCCTGAAAGGATAAGGGTCTGATTATGCCCAAAGCACCATAAATATAAATCCTTTGCCTCACCTGAAATGAGCAGCCACAGGGACAGGATTCTGTGAGCAAGTCACAGTGGCTGGCCTTTGAATAACTACAACAGTGAGGATGCTTCTCTCCTACACCCCAATGTATGGGAACCAAGACCACCAGAATATGCTCTTCCCTAGTGTACCTTCCCTTCTTCTCACCTGGTGTGCTGACACTGGGAGGATAAAGCTGTGGGAGGTTATGTTTTGGTAGAAAACCCTTTTTGCCTGTTGTGAGGGTCTAGGGCTCAGGCTGGTAGGTGCTGGTGACAAGTACAAGGCCTTGACTGAACTCCCATTCTTCCTCTGAATAAAATGCAATAGAAATGTCCCCTCTCCTCCCCTGCAACAAGACTGTGAGGATGAGGATGTCTGTTATTCATCTCTGTACCCTTGGCACTGGGCACAGCCTGGCACACAGAAGGCACATGATAGATGCTGGCAACCTCAAACTCCTGGGCTCAGCTGGAGACCAGCCTGAGCAAGAATGAGATCCTGTCTCTACTGAACTGACTATTGTTGAAGGCTCACCTCTGCAAAGCCCACTGGGATTAGTCTCCTCACTGAGCCCCTAGACCCACCCCTGTTTATGTCCCTCCCTGGAATCAGGTGTCACAGCTTTAGACCCCTTATTTCAGGGTTGTGCTACCTGTGCACATAGTGCATCTGTACCTAGACCACAGTATCATCATGTATTATGTGTTTAATAAGCACAAATGCATGTATGAACAAATGAATCTAAGCTTCCACGAAACACACAGGTGTCCATCTTTTTCTGTTCATAGTACCAAAAAGGCTACAACTTTTCTGGTCTGAGTTTTGATGATGTTTGCTCCAGGGAATTTCTGTTTACTGACAAGTTACTATCATCTCAGAAGAACAGTTCTATAGTCTGAGCAATGAGTGAAGGAAGGCTGGGTGCTCAAACCTATAATCCTAGCACTCTGGGAGGCCGAGGCAGGAGAATCACTTGAGGTCAGGAGTTCAAGACCAGCCTCAGCAAGAGTGAGACCCCATCTCTAAAAAAATAGAAAAAAATAGCCCGGCGTGGTGATGGGCACCTATAGTTCCAGCTACTTGAGAGGCTGAGGCAGGAGGATCGCTTGAGCCCAGGAGTTTGAGGTTGCTGTGAACTAGGCTAATTTCACAGCACTCTAGCCTGGATGACAGAGTGAGACTCTGTCTCAAAAAAAAAAAAAAAAAAAAAAAAAAAAGTGAAGGAATACTGTGAATATATAAGGAAGATAAAAATGCATGTAAGAAAATTAAATCTCCTTATATCCCAACATAATGGCCAAGGCAAGGTGGCTATTGGCTGGGCTTTACTTAAGTAAAAAAAGAAATAAAGGCCTCATAGTTGTGTGATGTGACATAAAATGAGAATGACAAGATGGTCCAGCAGAAACCAAGAAAGTAACACCCATCGCCTGTCCAGTCTTCATACCAGAAAAAGGAGTTTAATCACAGGCACAAAGCGCATGATGTCAGGAGGCTTGGAGGTCAGCCACATTTTATCATGCATTGAGTGTTAAATATAATGAAGATCAAAAGATGGGAGATCCTAGTATTTGAATCTGTATACTGAGAGATTGTGTTTAATTTGCAACACCCATAAAGCAGGGAAGGCAATCCCTTGTTTTTTGAGTGGGTGCTGGATTGGTTTGGGCAGGTCTCCTGGAAGATGTTACCTTTGGGCACCTTGGCCCTCCATCTCTCCCGATTGATGTGCACCACCTCTGTCCAAGTGGCTTTAAAGCTGTTATAGTCAACTGGGATGACGGAATTGTTGATTGGGGCACTTCCCTCTGACCCAGAGCTCTTGACACCTGAGCGCTTCGCATCTGATGAGCTGATGCTGTTCAAGCTGGAGGACAGAAAATCATACCAAAGAGGACAGTTAGTGTTGAAAATGTCTGCCAAGCAGCAAGCCCAGGAGAGAAGTGGTTAGCGCGCATTGAGTTACTACTGTGAAATTATCCTATTTTCTGTATATAACAGGTGGGGAATTCTGTATTTTCAGCTGGAAAGTATCAACATTGCAGCCTTTAGAATCTCAGTATTCCTCATATATCTTCTGTGCTAATTGGCTGCTTCTTTTTTCTAATAACCAGAATCCCCTCATGCAAATTTTCTCTGTTCTAGTCTCTGAAATTGACAAATTTGAACTTGAATTTCTATTTGATTCCACAGTTCACCCACCTGCTTCGACACTGACCACTTTCCCAAGTTACCCAGCAACTTGATCCTCTTTCTCTCCAGCCCTACCCATCCGCTGCACTCAGGGTCCCTCTGACCCCAGGCACCTCAGGCCCAGGACAAGCGATGATCTCTTTATGTTGCTGGGAGAAGATGGAGAGGCACAGACAGCATGGAGACTGTGGGAGACTGGGTCATGCAAAAGACCTAACTTTATGTGAATATTTTATGCTTCAAGCCATGGATGCCTGAAAATATCATCCTTCTGGAAAAATTTAAAGAAGTTAACTCCTGCTCCCAAGTTGTTAAAGCAGTGACCGGCATGAATGTAACTTCACTAAATGACAATTTAGGCTGACTAGACAAGCAGGGCATGTTTCAACTAGTGCACCTGAAGAGCTGTGGGGCCATGGGGACTCGGGTAGGGGTCAATCCACCTGGGCATCCCAGGGGGCCCACGGTCCTAATTCTTCCCTTGCCTTTACTCCTGTTCCTGCTCTTTGCTTCTCTTTGTCCTATTCATTCCATTTCTCTTCTTTCTCCTATATGACAAAGCCCAAGGTGTGGCATGGACAAGGAGGAGAGGAAGGTGGGTAGTAATAATGGTAGTATTATGACTAATTAAGACTAAGTGTTAGCTTTAGCTGGCACTTCCTTGCGCTAGACCCTGTTCTGTGCAGTGTACATGTATTGAATAATTTATTTACCTTTCCCAGCAACCCATGAGTGTTATAATCCATATTTTCTCAGATGAGGGAAGCAAGACAACTTGCCTGAGATTGCACGGCTAACAGTGACAGGGTCGGGATTTTTAACCCTGGCAATCTGACTTCAGAGCCTGTGTTCTTGGACTACTAATCTGTCCTTGATATAGTGATGTGGTGGCAGAAAGTGGTTTCAAACTTTCAGCTTTTTCTCTCTACTTCATTCTCTTCAAAAACCTAGAAACCGAAAGTCAGTTTCGTTTCTTGCAAGAACCCTGATCAGTGGTCCTGTCTTTTTGGAGTATTAGAAGCAAGGACTATCTGGGCACAGCAGGTAAAAGTGCAGTGACAGTGCTGCCACAGGCAAAGGCCAGGGGAGAATGGGGCGTGGGGGAGGCTGGCTCCAGGTACTTGCCGGTCAGGGTTTGGTCACCCCCTCACAGGTCAGCTGGAGAGTACAGATAGTACAATTCCATCTCCTCTGGGAGAAGGCAAGGGGCAGGCTCTATGAGGAGGCGGCAAGGCAAACATCATTATGAAATACCCCCATCTCCCACAAAAGAACTCCATCCTCACGGACAGGCCCACCTCACCCCCAGCCCTCAAGCTTCTCCACTGACCTCAAACGCCTCTGTCCTGTCCCGCCAGTTTGGGAGGTTTCATCGATTAACGGACTCACGATCTTTTCGGTCATGTCCGTGAGCACAGTGAAGGTAGGTTCCACAATGAAATCAATAAAACCTAAAAAGAAACAGCAATGTTTCAGAGGAATGACGCATTAACTTGGGCATTTCCTTTCTTCTAAAATTCATCTACATAGAAGGCTCCAGATCAGTTTAGGAGAGAATGAGTTGGTCTTACTCATTTAATATATTCCTTGATTTGAGTATTATGAGTCAGTTTCATTTCTCCTACATAACTTCCTATGACTGTTCAGCTGATAGCTCAATAAAGTACTTCAAAAATACATAGGAGTGCATAAATGACTGAGATTGAATAATACCACCTGCCTGTCTTCAAGGAATTTCTAGGAGAGATTAAATGAGCACACGAATGACCCCTGAGATATATGGAAGGCCAGAGGAGAAGCCCATATGAAGGTCCCTGGGAAGGGAGGGGAGAGAGGATATTTCTCCTCCACTGAGAGGTCTGTGAGCAACTTCGGGAGACTGTGATGTCTGAGTTGAGCCCTCAAGAATGAATGAGAGACTGTGGCTGTTCACTGTGGGTGGTGGGGCTGGAGTCAGACAGCAATGGGAGAGTGCAGGAGGTGTCTGAGGAATGACTGGGGTGGGTGTAGGGATCCTTTTGGAGTTGGGGAAGGAAAGCTTGGGAAAAGGTCACCAACAGCTCAGAGAGGGAGGTGCCTAATTACCAGGCTAAGGAGTTAGGACTCAGATGGGCACTAGCAGCCCCTGGAGATGTCTGGGCAGCATTGTCATAAGATTTCTAAAATGTTCTTGGGAACATTAATCTGGCAAGATGGATGGGAAGGGAGAGAGCATGAGGGGATAAGGATGGGGAAGTCATTCTAAAAGCTATTGCAATTGCTCCAACAAAAGGTAAGGAAGGTGGGGACCGGTCCCACCGTAAGGTGGCAATGCAAAGGAGGCTCAGATCCCACACAGCAGGAGGTAGCACTGCCTCTTGGTGGGGTCAGCCAGAGAGGCCAGCAGCAAAGCAGGGGAACAGAACGTGGCTGGGGATAGGGGATGGGCTCAGCTGCAGATCTGCTGACTTTGAGGCACAGGGGACACATCCGGATGGGAGAGGACAAACAGAGTAGGATAAAACAGGGTTGGAAACTGGAAGAAGGGTCAGACCTACAACTATACTTTGTGAGATCGCCACACTGGGGAGATAGATGGAGTTGAGCTAGAGTGATTATCCCAACAGCTCAAAGACACCCAAGTGTTCTATGACACATCAGGTGAAAAATATGAGCTGGAGCTAATGGGGATAGGGTAATTCATTACGCAGCCACACGAAAGCTGGAAGGAGCTAAATACCAACCAAAGGAAATGCTGCCTACCCACCTCTTAAGGGGCTGTTTGGAAATGTACGAATGCATATTTGGTTTTCACAATGACTGAGGTGGGGTTGATACTGGTATTTAATGCTCAGCAGTGAAAGATGCTAAAAGTGCTACAATGTAATTGACAAAACAAGAATTGTCCCAACCAAATACCAATGATATCCTGATAAAGAAACACACTGGTAGCCCCAAGTTTGTATTACACTTAATTGCAGTATAATTTTAAGCCAAAACTGAAGTGTTTGATGATATCATTTTCACCTTTTTTTCCTCCCAAAGTCAACTCAACCAGAACTAATTCATCAGCTCCCCTCTCACCTTTGTAAATGGATTATGGTCCAATCACTTAATCTCAACTGCTCCCTTTATTTTAGTTCTGCCTCTAGCCAAATCCTCAGCCCTTTCAGTGCCACCTCTCTTCTGGACAGTCTCTGTTGCTGCCTTAGTTCTGACGTTCACCTTCCCTTCCCTGTAATCCTGCAGTGGGCACCCAACTGATTTCCTTGCCTCTAATCTTACTGAAAACCCTCCAATTAATCCTCCATGCTACTGGCAGAGATATCTTCCCAAAGAGGGCTTGGCAAACTTTATCTGTAAAGGACCACATAGTTATTTTAGACTTTGCAGGCCATATCATCTCTATCAAAAATACTTAACTCTGCCACAGTAGTACAAAAGCATCCATAGACAATATGCAAATGAACAGGCTTAGCTGTGTTGTAATAAAACTTTATTTACAAGAACAGGTGGTGGGCCAGATTAAGCCCACAGGCTAAAACAAGAATTCATATATTTTTAACCTCACTTAAAATTCTTTAGATATGCCCTCATTTCCTACAGGAAAGTATAAACACATGCTATTCTTAACACAATATAAAATCTGGGCCTGATATGTCCCTCACTGCATCCTACTTCCTACCCACTGCTCTTGCCATATGGAACTGTTTAGAATTTGCTGACCATACTAGGCAGTTTTTAAGTTTCCCTCTTTTGTATATGCTACATACCCTGCCTGGAATGCCCTTCCACCCATCCCTAAGTCACCTCTAATACATATCACCATTTACCGCCCTAGACAACGCCTATTCACTTCTTAGGACTCAACTCAAACATTGCCCCTCAATAAATCTAATATTAATAGTTCACACACTTTGTTTTGTACTCGATTGTATTATGTACAAAATTTTACTTTAGCATTGTAAGATTCTAATGGATTTTTGTTTTTATAACATTTTTCCCAGCACCCAATACTGGTTTTAATGTCTTTGAGAGCAGATACCATGTATAATTTGTCTTTGTTTTTATAACATCTGTTATAGTGCCAGCAGTGCCCAATAGCCAACAGGGATTCAATATATATTATGGAAAAAAAAAAAAAAAAAAGAATAAGCACTCCAAACACAAATAGAAAAATCAATAAATCCTTATTGAATTTCTTTTTTGAATGATTTCAGACTCTTCAAAGGTGGAGATTACTGATAATATTTAATTTATATAGGGCACTTGGACCCTCTCCCATAGCTGAGGATTTTGTAATGCATATACTATGGTTATTAGCAGTGTGAAAGTTATCCTTACCCCCCCAAAGAGTGCTTTTCATAAAAAAGAAAGGAAGGGAGAATGGGAAGAAGGGAGAGAGGAAAGAAACGAGGAAGGACAAATCAAGGAAGGAAGGAAGGAAACATTTTAAAAGAGTCGTTCCTAGAAGTAGGGTGATCCAGGAAACAGGGCTATCCTGAAAAGAGGGCCAGAAGCATTCATCAGGAGAAACGCAATAGCAACTTCTGGTATTGCATACAGAAGGGAGAGGATGAGGTAGAATGGGCAAATGATACTTGTCATTTCCTTGGAAAGTCAAGGCCTGTTTTTCTCTAACAGGGAAGGACAGAGGCACCAAAAGTGTCACTATCTAATTCTCCATGAATGAGCCACGTTTCAGGGAGAAGAATGAAGAGCGTGGCTCCCTCGACCTACTTAGGCAAAGCCATGAGCACAGCGTGACAGACCGGAGCCAGTTTCTCAGCCAAAGAATCGCTGAGAGCATCTGAGCTTACTTCCACGGGCGTCCCACTCTGCTGCTTCCTTCCACCCACAGGCTGGCAAGCACGTACCTACTTGTGACTGAGCAACCATAGTCGACTTGCGGTCACACAGAGGAGAAAAAGGCAGCCCCAGCTCCGCTTCTCTGTCACCCTAGAAAAATAGGACGCCACAGTAAAGGAACACAGTAAAGGAACAGTAGGCTGAGCTGCCCAGATTTTATTTAACAACTTCAGCTGCCACGAAGGCCACTGGTCTTTATTTTAATTATTACAATTACATTATGGAATAAGTCCCTATGGAGACTGTTCCTCTGCATAAAAGACACCAAGAGGCTGAAGCCCTCCAGGGTCCAATTGTTTCATCCAACTGCAAAGCTCATGCTGTTGTAAAGAAAGCCTCGTTAGGCAGCAATAGGTCCCCCACAGAAAATAAGGCAACAAGCAATGTGTCTTGTGGACTGGAGCCAACACTGTGGTCAGAATTCATCTGTTTTCTCAAGTCATCCTGTGTCAACCTGTGGCCTTTCTCTAGGCAGTGACCCCCTCCCAGCTGTGGGCAGTGTCCAGAACTAAAATTCAAACTGAACTGATTCAGATTTATTCTAGTGCTAAAGCCACACACAACTGGAGTAAGTGCTTCTGGGTTCTTAACCTCAGGGGTCAGTCCATAATGAAAAGTGGGCCCAAAAGAACAAGAGTAAATAACTGCTTGCTGTGTTGATCAAGTCAGACAACAATAAAACATGGTCATCTAACCAATGTATTCTCAATCTCACCAAAAAGCATCACTATAATAAGCAAGTGCTACGGAAAATCTAAATAACGATAGAGATGATTCTTAAAAACTTGAACCAGGAGCTTAATACTTCAGTCCTACACCTAGAGGAAAAAGAAAAATCTGTCACCCTCCCTGTAGTAGTGAGGCTGTGCTCATTCATGTCCCTGGTCCAGGATTCCGGCTACTGACTCGTGCTTGAACCCTGCCTTTCTCCTACTGGATGTGTGACTGATTATAGGAAGGTTATTTTCCTTCCTTATATTTCAGTTTTATCACTTGTCAAATGCAGGGATAATAACCCCTACTTCGAAGGGTTATAATGAGGATGAAATGAGAAAAATGTATGTGAATAAATAAAAAGAACTATTAAAGGAACTATTATTGTTTCCCAATAAGTGGCTCTAATATTTAAGGCCAAGATTTGAGAAACATTTAGTGAGTTTGTTACATCTAACACAATCTGATTGTAATGAATATCACTCACAAATTAATAGTAAATAAAAAGGTAATAACAGCCTGCAAACAGGCCTCTTTCAAAAATGGAATGCTTTTTCTTTCTAAGGTATGCTTGCTACCAAAGAGAAAGGATGCTAGCTCGTACGCATGCTTAACGTCAACTGAAAGGACGGAAAAGGAATGGGCGTCTGAGGAAGCTGAGCAGTGGGGTCACAATGAGAGCTGGGGACATCCAAGTGTCTCAGGAACAGGCTTCAAGTGGCTCAGTTCCTTCTGCACCCTTTTCCTGTAGCGAGACCTCACGGTACATAATGGCTTCTCCGTTCCCAGTATGCCCTGCTGAGGACAGCTCTGTCTCTCAAGTGGCGTGACAAAATGATTTCCTCCTGAGTGATTTCTACTCGGGCAGTATGAAGATAAGGAAGCATATTTATAACATAAGTTCTAGTGGTGTAGGTGACTTAGTTGGAAAGTCCAGCTAAAACAAATATTAAATAAAACCCTTTTTTATTCCCCATGTAGCAAGGATACAAGTTGTTTTCTTGGTACATTTTAATGGGGTGGGGTGTGTGTGAACACTCTCCACTTGGCTATTAAGGTGTAAACATTAATTTGGATTTCATTACTGAAAAATTGCCTGATATTAAACAACTTCTAATTCCATGAACTTGCCCATACTCAAATCTGCATATGATTTATATCTTTTATATATAATTGAGCTGAGTAGAATCAGTTATTAAAAGCCTATTTTAAAACAGGGGTCATTGAATTACCTTTGGAGAACAGATACACTTATGAATCGGAAAAAAATGTGCTGAAAGCAATGTAGAGGAATGGACTTCTACTGGAGAATCCAACGTGACTGATGACTCTGTATCGTGTGACTCTGTATAGCTACTGACCCTTGTGGAATTATTTATATACTTTCCTCTTCATTGAAGAGGTCAATATTTTCATCAAAGGGCAAAAGTATCAGTTGTCACAAAGAATTTTTTTTAATTAACTCATTTTTTTTCTTCCAGGGCAGCTTAGAAAAATAACTATCATTTATTCCTATGGTAGAGGTTAAGATAACTCCAACCGATAAAGTCACATAGTCAGTATGTAAAAGGAAGTTCATGAATATCTATTGAATGAATGAAAAGACTAATTGGGTTAGAAGCACTCAAATTCCTTTGGCCACTGGGACATTTATGACAGACAAGCTAGAGAGAGCAATGAGTCAGGTAGCTGTTACCAAACCTCCATCCTTCTCCTCTTCCATTTCCTGTCCACACAGCTAGATTACGTTGTTTAGAATCACTGTCAGTTAGTGCTGGGTAATAGAACAAGAGCAGACAGGATGCGTTTCCAGCAGAGTTCAGGCCTGGAAAATCTCCCACACTTGCTCTTCTATGCTCTTCCCCCTTGTGCTGGCTTGCTTGATGTGGACAAGCACCTGGGAGGCCAGGTAGATGACAAAGTCTGGTCTAAAGTCACTGCTCATTGGGGAACCACCGGCTGATCAAGGAACACTTGTCCTGTAATTTAAAAAAGTGGGTGATAACTTCCATTTATGTGTGCTGTTGCACATGTCGGGGTTTGTTCATTACAGCAGCTATATGTGAGCAACAAACCAGTCAAAAGAAACACAGGTCTTGTCTACATTGGAAATTCACAGGGAAGATGACGCCTGTCAATGCCAGAACTTCCAAAGACATTTAGGTAATATCTCAAGTGAGTCTTTTTAGGTGGAGTGAAGAGAAAGGAGATGTTTGGAGAGGCAACAGGAGGATCAAGCTGAACAAAACACAGCAATGTACACTATTCTGTCTCAGGGGAAGAAGGCACAAACATAAGGTATGAGAAAAGCATTATGATTTTTGATTTAAGATAGTTTAATGAAGTTTTAGCCCTTTCCTCTCTCAGAAATTATCACCTCAAAAATAAGGAGAATGAGGAACAGAAATGCAAACATAAATACTAGGAAAAATCTGTAATCTCAAATCAAAGCTACATGAGGAAGGGCTGCCAAATGCTGTGAATATCAGACAGGGGTGAGGCAAGATGCCAAGAGGCTGGGTGGAGAACAGAGGTTGAATTGCAAGGAGCCCTGCAACTGCTGCCCACTATAGTAATGGAAAAAGTCTAACGCGCACACACACGCACACACACACACACATCACTTCACAGGAGCCTCATAATAAACCAAGGACAATACCAGATAGCTTACAACACTACTACTCTGATTTCTCCCTGGTACAAACCTTCAAACAGTTGGTCCAAAAAGAATGCATTTTGCTCAAAGATGGTAAATAATAACAATAAAGTGAAGAAGAAGAAGAGGGGAGGAGAAGGAGGATGGGGAATGAAGAGAAGGAGAAGGAGAAAACGGAGGGAAGAAGAAGAGGTAGGGAAAGAGAGAAAGAAGAAAAAGAAGAGGACGAGGAAGTACCAGCAGCAGCAGCAGAAATAGCAAAAACAAAACAAAACCAAACTCAAACAAACAACAGATGGGGAACATTCATCAGAAAAATGATGCCACTAAGTGATGACCAAACATATTGCTACTAACAGAAAGAAGCTCCTGAAATGATCAAGAATGAGGGCTCAAGGCAGCAAGAGCTAGCAGAGCACAGGAAAGATATGGACAAGAAAACCAGAACCTCATTGTGGTTTTGATTTGCATTTCCCTGATGATTAGAGATGTTGGGCATTTTTTCATATGTTTTTTGGCCATTATTCTGTCTTCTTTTGAAAAGTTTCTGTGTAGGGTTGTTTGATTTTTTCTTGTTGATTTTCCCGAGTTCTAAGTAGATTCTAGTTATCAACCTTTTATCGGATTTGTAGCATGCAAAAATTTTCTCCCATTCTGTAGGTTGTCTGTTTACTCTTCTGACAGTTTCTTTGGCTGTGCAGAAGCTTTTTAATTTGATCAGGTCCCATTTATTTATTTTGGTTGTTGCTGTGATTGCCTTTGGGGTCTTCTTCATAAATTCTTCGCCTAGGCCAATGTCTAGAAGACTACTTCCAACATTTTCCTCTAGAATTCTAATAGTTTCACTCCTTAGGTTTAAATCTGTTACCCAGCGTGAGTTGATTTTTGTGAGAGGTTAAAGGTGTGGATCCTGATTCAGTCTTCTACATGTGGCTATCACTTATTTCCAGTGAGACTGGCCTTTATCAAAAAGTCCCAAAACAATAAATGTTGGCGTGGATGCAGAGAGATAGGAACACTCATACACTGTTGGTGGGACTGCAAACTAGTGCAACCTCTGTGGAAAGCAATATGGAGATACCTTAAAGAGATACAAGTAGAATTACCATTTGATCCAGCAATCCCATTACTGGGCATCTACCCAAAAGAACAAATGATACTCTATAAAAAAGACACCTGCACCCAAATGTTTATAGCAGCACAATTCACAATTGCAAAGATGTGGAAACAACCCAAGTGTCCATCAATACATGAGTGGATTAATAAAATGTGGTATATGTATACCATGGAGTACTATTCAGCTTTAAGAAACAATGATGATCTAGCACCTCTTGTATTCTTCTGGATAGAGCTGGAACGCATTCTGCTAAGTGAAGTATCCCAAGAATGGAAAAACAAGCACCAAATGTACTCACCATCAAATTGGTATTAACTGATCAACACATAAGTGCATGTATAAGAATAACATCTACTGGATGTCAGGCAGAGGGGAGGAGGGGACAGGTATATGCATACACAAAGAGTGCAATGAGCACCATCTGAGAGATGGACACACTTGAAACTCAGACTTGGGGGAGGAGGGGGGGCAAGGGCAACATACGTAACCTAAACATCTGTACCCGCATAATATGCTGAAATAAAGAAAAAAAAAACCAGAACCATATAACTGATGAAGATGACGCTAGAAGCAGCACACGGGAGAACTGTCCTTCGTGAAAACACATTAAGGGACATGGATAGTAGGAATGAAGAAAGCAGGTCAAACAGAGGGATAAAGAAAATGTTAAAGAAATACAACAGACATGGAAAAGAAAGAAAACAGAGGCGACAGATGAATAATTGTTTTCCCTAAATAAGATAACTAAATGAATGGAAGACATCAAAAGATTTAATCAATGTAACTTGAAACTATAGAGGAAAAGACCACCCACGTCCCAAGAAAAGCCAATGCAGAACAATCATTGAAACACATCCTAGAAATATCACCAGGCTTTAAAGGAAAAGAAATAATCCATAGGTTGTACATGTTTGAAATTTTCCATAATAAAAAGTTTTTTTATATAAAAGAAATAATCCTTAAGGCACAAATACAAAAAGATTTATCATCTATATGTGGAAATAGTTCCAGCATGGCTTCAACCTCTCCAGGGCAACATTCAAGGGTGGAAGACACTTGGGTGACATCTGCAAAAGATCTCAAGGAAAGAAAGCTTGATCCAAAAATGTCATACCCAAGCAAACGTGACCCAAGTACAACAGCAGTAGAAAAACTTGCAAGCATACAGTAATGTGGTTTCCATGAGTGCTTCTAGAAGAAATCATTTGAGGAACAACTTTGGCCAACCAGAAGATGAATAGATCAACCATGGCCAAAGTGTCAACACTGAGTGGACCTAGACAAGAAGAACAACTGGAGAATTACGTTTTGCCAGACTTACTTATTTTCTACCTTTCTGAGTCACATTGTTTTGGGTTGTGTTTTTTGTAAACAGCATATAGTACATGAAATAGAATACTCATTTTAAAAATCAGGACAACTTAGAAATCTTATAACTGACAAATAGTAACAAGGAATGAGTTACATTATGAAAGGAAAGAGGGAAAGATGTTGAGAGGCAATAAATAAACATTGGCTTCCTTATCTTTTAGAGATGGGGTAAAATATGTCATTTAAATTTGATATATAAAGTAATAGAGCTATATTTAAATAATAAAGGTACACACTAGAAGAACTAAGCAAGTTAATAAAACCACATAAATCAGGTGTTGGGGAGAGGTAGGAGGAAGTAGAAGTTTACTAATTTTTATAGCAAAGAAGTAATAGAAATAAATAGAGGATTTAAAGTTTTCATTATCAAGTTAACCACTAGAAAAACTAAAAACATAATATAAAACTTCCATATCATCAGAAGGCACAAATATATAGCAAAGCAGATGGCACAAACAATATTAGTGAGCTATTTCTAAAAAACCATAAAAACAGAACGTATAATATAAAATATGATAGCACCTTAGCTCAAGCATTCCTGTCATTTCAATAGATGTTAATATGGCTGGTTTTGATTAATAATAGAAAAGAACCTCAGAGTCATTAAAAAACTCAATTATATACAATGTTGAAGACACACACAAATCAAAGTGTCTCTGAAAAGTTAAAAGTAAAAAGCTATGCAAAGATGGGGTTATATTCTTAATATGAGTCTAATTTGAATTCCAGAAAAAGCATTAGCTGAGACAAAGAAGAGGGCTTTATAATGATAAAGGGTGCAATAAGCTCTGCTATGAAGGTCTACAGTTATGAATATCCAAGAACCATATAACATAGAATCAGCATTTATGAAGCAAAAATTACATCACACAAAAAGAGAAAATAATAGAAATGCCTGTCAACCCACGATAGCTCAACTTTTTAAAAAATGATATATAAAATGCCTAAATGACATAATTAAGAAGGTAGAATGTACCTGATTAAGAAGGCAGAATGTACCTGATGTTCTTTTAACTCTATACCCTGCAAATAAATCTACTTTTCATGAGCCGTAAACATTCACAAAAGTCAATTATATAGTAGGTGATATACAAATTTCAAAACAACAAAAAAATTCTGTGATCAAATTTCAGTAAACAAAAATTAATCAGAAAGCTATTAAGCAAAGAAACCTACCACCGGAAAATTATAAACAAGGAAACAAACACTTCAATCTGAAGCAACTCTTGGACAAAAGGGAGATCAAAGCCAAAATTACAGAATATTTAGTAAAGAATGATTGTGAACACACTGCAGATAAGGACTTATGAAATTCATAATAAGAAAAAGTCAAACTCCTAGCTTTCTATTTTCTAATATTAAATAGGCAAAAATGAAAATAAAAGAATTGAGCATCCAACTCAGAAAGTTAGAAAAAAAATAAACTCAAGTAGAAGAAATGAATTAATAAGAATGAAAATACTAATTAAGACATTATAAAACAAAAAAGAAACAATAAAACAATCAAATAATTAGATAATTTCATAGAGAAAAAGGGGAAAAAACCCAATTCATGAAATAAAAATGGGGAAATAATCACACACACAGAGGAAATTATAAGAATTGTGAGAGATGTTTGCAAAATATAAAAATATACAATAATATAATGGAAATGAATCTCGAGGCTTTTATAAAAACATGCATTTACCAAGGAGGCAAACTTATACTTCTTTAAAGTCAATATTTTATCAAAATCACTCTGAGGCAGTGGCTTGAATTTTGTAAAATATGTTTATAAAACTGAAGCTGTAACTTACTCTTTTAGAAAAGCATGGAAGGTCTGGTCCATCTGCACTGAGGCTATGCCCTTATTTTGAAATATAACCCAACTTTCCAAATGTAATTTCTAAAAGGACTCCACAAGCCCATTGAGATTTCCCATTTGAACTGTCCAATTTAAAATCTACAGTTAAGAGCAGAGACTACATTTCTCCTGTGTGGGTTACTTATTATGGCTTATGGCATCTGGGTTAAAATATTAGGTAAATAAAAATAATTTACTGAATTATAATTACCAAAAAATAGTTCCAGTCCAGTGAGCTAACATTCCATTCCCAACAGGCAAGAAATTCAATATGGTTATGTTCACATTGCCTTCACATTTTCATTCAAGTGTATGTGTATACAAACAAAGTTCCCTTTAAGAGGAAAAAGTGTTCACATATTTAAGTAATTCATATTCACTCTCTCATAATTAAAAAGAGGACTCACTTCAATACCCCAAATTTATATGAGTTAGCTATGAGCTATCCTTTGGCAACAGACTGAATACTTCCAGCTGTAGGGGGTATTACTGTACAAGTGCTATCAAAGAAAGCATATGAAAAGGGGAGTGGATATTTGAAAAAGATCCTCTTACTAATATTAGAAAAGAGCCTTTGGAAAAATGACTCAAAATGAACCCTCGATGAAGGATGAATTTGTGTAACTCTAGTTCCTTTGCAACATGGGGTCCCCCTGAGAACTACTTTGGGAGGCCAAGGATGACACTGCAAAGAGAAATAACCATATGCTGAATAGGGTACCTGCTAGTGTGTGCATACAACAGCCTGAGGGTACGTGTGCAGGTGTAGACAGGCACCCGTAGGACGGAACGAAGGAAATGGAGGGCATTTAATGCTGAAAGGGTCTTAAGAAAACATCTGGTTCAATCTTACCCTAAATACTTCCCCACCACACACAAAAAAACCCAAATCATAGATAAGACCATAGGGAATGAGAGGGGTGATTCAATTAGACCTAGGCCAAAAATTAGCTGGAATAAAATCTCCAATAAGGGCCTTCTGGCTTTAGTTTAATATGCTATTAACTCTGATCCTGCTTCATTACCAGAGTGTACAGGTTCGGGAGGAAACACACACACACACACACACACACACACACACACACACACACACACGCCTTCTATAATTTTTCCATTCAAACTAGAATCTTAAGAGTAAGAATAATCACAGAAGTAATCTTCTCCCAAAAATTCAAGTAATATGATTTATTAACCAGCAAAAGATCCTATCTTTTGTCAGTTTGGGGGGCTAAGTTGAGGCTAGTGTTTATAAGTAGTGTTTTATGGGAACCTTAGAGGTCTCTGCATCCATGCTGTTAACCTCCCTTCTCAAATTAACAAGAACTGAATTAACTGTAATTTAGGTCCCCAAATCTACATATCATGCCTTCAACCTCAGGCCCGCATGTCTGGAAGCAGATAGATGTCTGAATGGCAGCTCTTCTGGAGATGAGGTTAGTGCACGTGACTGAGTTTGAGAAGACTTTAATCTTGGTGCCGTGCATTTATTTCCCTTTCAATTTCTCTACTTGTATGTATGTTTTTTGTGTATTTGTTTAAAAGCAATGTACACTTATTAAAGACTCCATCTATTCTTACAGACAACACAGCTTTGGATTTTAGGATGTAGTTAAGTGTCAACATAATTGAAACAGTAGTTGCTAGTGATTTCCTCACCCCAAACTGCCACACTTTGTTTTGGAATTTCACATCATGGGCTTGTCCACTCAAATGAAATGACTCAAGCAATTATAACAGAGAAATGAGTCCAAGATTAACATCTTAATCCTACAGGGCAATGCCACAGTAACCGCCATTTTGTCAATTTATTAGAAAAAAAGCAAAAAAGTAAAAGGCTCCTCAAATATCATTTTGACAAAAGATTGCCGCAAGGAAACACTTTTCTTTTCTCCCAACAGAAATGCACAGGATAGAAATACCATGTTCTGAGAATTAGCATTGAGGTAAGATTCAAACATTACATGATCAGGAAGCCAAAAAAAGCTGTGGAACCCTCCCTCCCCTCAAGACAATTACTGTAATCTCAATACTCCTTATCATAGTGTTGCTGATACATAAAATTCATAAAATATTCAGTGATGACAGCCCCCGACGGACAGGAGAGCAACGAGTTACCTGTCTGAAGAACTCCTCCAGGAGCGACATTGTCCAGCGATGATGGAGGTCCCACGCTTTTGCAGGATGGCTAATATCTGCTGTATGCAGCATGAGGGATAAGGCTTTTGGCTTTTCAATTCTGTAAACCAAGAGCACCCAAACGCATGATGACCACACTCTCCAGAACCTCAGTAAGAGTTTTTAAAAAATCATTAATTTCTTCAATCCATTCTATTCTCCTGTCTCAAACCCCACTTCAGCTAAATTGAGGAAAAGGCATCATTTCATCCTGCGACTGGGATATTCGTCAGCGTGATCTCTACACTTATTGAACTGGACTCTTCTGACTCAAACCCATTTCTGAAATGACTGCATCATTCAAAAAGACAACAAGAATCTAAGAATCACTGACTTTTATTTGCTGTCTGTGCATTAAGTGGATCTTTGATAATCTAGTTTCCCACAGGGAAATATTTTAAATTCTAATTGAGAAAAACTGGTACTGGCTCTATTATTTATTTCAGCCCCAATGAGAACATACCTAATTGTGACATGTACAATTTTCATGCTCTTTCCTCCAAACATCACCACTTCATGAGACCACTCAATAAAGTTATGTCGAAGGAGATATGCTTCGAAAGTACAAGAGCATGGACAAGCACCAGTTCAAACACTTATACAAATGCAGAAGTCACCGGCCTACTTACGCTTCCGGCTGCTGCAGAGCGGTTTTCATGGCTTTGATTTGTTGAAAATGACAAGACATATCTGTGGCCATCACCATCTCAATCACCAAGGTTCGAAACTCCCTTTTAGGAACGCCCGTGGAGAAAAAAGGTGGAAGTGAAAAATGGAAAGTAAAAATTAGTTTAGTTTTTTGCCACTTCTAATCGAAGTCAGTTAATTATTTCTGACACATCTGATCTAGTTTGAGTCTTTTAAGCGAGCTGCCTTTTATAAGGAATAAATGAAGGTTAAGGATCAAGGAAACCATTTATTAGGAATGTGATACATGGGATACACATATAATTTGGGAAATTAACTCACAGGAAAAATTCCAATGAAAGCGAAAAGTGTATGAAAGCTCTTCCTTCTCAACTGGATTCAGAGTTTTAAGAAAGAATTAACTTGAAAATAATCCTAGGAGGTAGGTTGATAATCCATATTCCACTTTGAATATAGGTATTCCATATTTTTTTTAAAATAGCCTTTATTTTCTAGAGCGGTTTTAGGTTTACAGAAATATTGAGTAGATAGTATAGAGTTCCTAGATACACTCTCTCTCTGTACAGTTTTTCTTATTTTTAACATCTTGATGTTAAATATGGTGCACTTATTACAGTTGATGAACCAATATTGACACATTATAGTAACTACAATCCATAATTCACATTGTCGACATGTTGCACAGTTGTACTGGTTTTGACAAATGCATAACGCCATGTATCTACCACTACAGTATCACATGGAACAATTCCAGCACGCTAAAATCCCCTGTGCACCACCTATTCACCCTTCCCTCTTCCCCCAAACCCTGCCAACCACTGATCTTTTTATTGCCTCTAACAACTTTATTGAGGTACAATTTACATAGAATAAACTGCTTCCATATAAATTGTGCAATTCAGTGAGTTTTAACAGTTGAATGAGCTTTTAAAAATACCACTGCAATCATGATACCACTATCACCCTCAAACCAGGCACCAGGCAAACTTTGATCTGTTTGCCTCTCTAGAATAGTTTGCATTTTCTAGTTTTATATACATATATATGTGTATGCATATGTATATAGGTACACATACATATATATTATATATTAAAATATACACTAGATATATACATACATACATTCCCATGTATGTACACACTTATAAAATACAAAATGTACTCTTGTTTTTGACTTCCTTTACTCAGCATTATGATTCCTGATCTGTTCATGTAGTAGCTCATCGACAGTTCATTTTCTTTTGTTGCTGAGTATGTTCCATTCTATGAGTTTACCACAATTTGTTATCCATTTACCAGCTGATGGACATTTGAGTTATCAGATTCTAGTTTGGGGCTATTGTGATTAAAGCAGCTATGAGCATTCATGTACAAGTCTGTGTGTGGACGTATGTTTTCATTTTTCTGGGGAAAACACCTAGAAGTAGAATGTCTGGTTTATAAGACAGCTGAGTGTTTAACTTTATAAGAAACTGCCAAATATTTTTCACGGTGGTCGTATCACTTTTTGACCACCAGTGTATGAAGTTTCTGGTTTTTCTTTGCTTAGTCTTGTCAACCTTTAGTTTCAGCTATTCTTCTGATGGATGAGTAATGGCATCTCACTGTGGTTTTAATTTGAATTTCTTTGATGACTGCTGATGTCAGCCACCTTTTCATGCACTTATGTATATCTATTTTTTAGGAAAATGTAATTTCAAAAGTTTCCCTTTTTAAAATTGGGTTGTTTGTCTTCTTATTGAGTTGTAAAATTACATTCCACATTCCACATACAAACTCTATGTAAGATATCAGTATATGTGTTGTAAATAATTTCTCCAATTTCTTGGCTTGCTTTTTTTCCTCCACAATATCTTCCAAAGAGCATAAGGTTTTAATTTTAATAAAGTTAAATTCATCATTTTAAAAAATGTTTCATGCTTTTTATGTCCTGGGATATTGCCACCTACCCACAAGGACTTTGCTGTTTTCTTTTGAAGTCTTGGCATTTTAGCTTTTATGTTTAAGTCTATGACCAATTTTGAGTTAATTTTTAAGTATGGTGTGAGATAAGGGTCACAGCTATTCTTTTCCATATGGATAGCCAATTGTTCCAACACTATTTGTTGAAAAGATTTTCCTGTCCTCATTGAATTGCCTTGGCATCTTTGCTATAAATCAATTGATGAGTCAATTTCAAAACTTTCAGTTCTGTTCCATGGATTTGTATGTCTATTCTTTCACCAATAAAATATTGTCATGATTACTGTAACTTAATAGTTTGCTTTGAAATCAAGTAGTGTGAGACCTTTAACCTTGCTTTTTTTATTATAAAAATTGCTTTGTTTGCATTTCTATATATATTTTTGAATAACCTTGGCAATTTCTAACATAATTCTGCCAGAATTTTGATTGGGGTTATATTGAATCTAAGATAAATTTTGGAAGATTTTGATAGCTTTACAATATTGAGTCTTCCACTACATGAGGACAGCATATCTCTTAATTTATTTAGGTGCTCTTTAATCAGCAATTTTATGTAGTTAGTAGTGAAAAGGAGTTGCACTTTTTTAAAAAAAATTACTACTAAGTATTTTATATTTTTTGTACTATGTTAAAGAAAGTTTTAATTTCATTTTTCAATGGTTCGTTGCTAGTCTATAATTTTTTTTTACATCAACCTTGTATTCTGTGACCTTGCAACATTCATTGTCAGTTCTAGTAGCTGCTTTATAGATTCTTAGGATTTTCTACTTAGACAATCAAGTTATCTGCTAATATAGACATCTTACAATGTTGATGAAAGTAAGAACAGGCATCCTTGTCTTGTTCCCAATCTTAGGGGAAAAGTGTTCAATATTTCACCATTAAGCTTGAGGTTAGCTATAGATTTTTCACAGGTGCTCTTTATCTAGTTGACGATGTTCCCTTCCGTTTCCAGTTTGCTGAGAGTTTTTACATGAATGAGTGCTGAATTTTGTCAAATGCTTTTTATACACCTATTGAAATGACTATATACTTTTGTTTTTCTTAAAACATAGTGAATTATTTTAACTGTTTTTGAATACTGAATTAACCTTGCATCCCTAGGATAAACCCTATATATTTGACTGAATTCTCCAGAGAAACCAATGGGAAATATACATATAGAGAAAGAGATTTATTACAAGGAATTGGCTCATGTAGTCACGGACATTGACAAGTTCCAAGATCTGCAGGGTGAGTCAGCAAGCTGGAGATCCAGGAGAAACAATGGTGTTGTTCCAGTATGAAGACCAGCAGGCTCAAGACCCAGGAAGAGCCTATGTTTTAGTTCAAAGACCGGTAGAAAGGATTCTCTCTTACTCAAGGGAGGATCAGCCTTTTTGTTCTATTTAGGCCTTAGACTGATTGCATGCAGCCCATTCATATTAGGAAGGGCAATCTACTTTATTCAGTCATCCATTTATATGTTAATCTCATCCAAAAACACCCTCACAGAACCATCCAGAATAAAGTTCAACCAAATATCCGGACACAATGTGGCCCAATCAAGTTGACACATAAAATTAACCATCACACTCTGCTTGGTCATAGTGTACGCTTTTTATATACTGTTATATTCCAATTGTTAATATTTTATTAAGGATTGTTATATCTATGTTCATAAGGTATATTGGTCTCTAATATTCATTTTTGAGACATTTTTTCAGGGTATGGTATCAAAATCATGTCTCATAAAACAAATTGGAAAATGTTTCTTCCTTCTCCACTTTCTAAATAAATATGCGTAAGATCCATATTATTTCTTCTTTGTGTATTTCATAGAATTCACCAGTGAAACTATGCAAACTTGGAGATTTCTTTGTGGAAAGATTTTTGATGACAAATTCAATTTTTTTAATAGACACGGTATTAGTCAGATTTTCTGTTTCATCTTGTATGAGTTTTGGTAAGTTGTACTTTGTAAGGAAGTTGTCCATTTCATCAAGATTGTCAAATTAGTTGAGACAAAGAGTCGTCTGTAATATTTCCTTATGCATTTGATGTCTACAGGATCTGACGTTGGTGATTTGTGTTCTCTTCCTTTTTTACTGAACAGAGGTTTACCAATTTTGTTGATTTTTTCAAAGAAGTAGATTTTAGCATTGTTAATTTTTTCTACTGTTTGTTTTCTATTTTGTTGATGTCTTCACTTATCATTACTAATTCCTTCCAACCATCTACTTTGAGTTTATTTCGCTCTTCTTTTTCTAGCTTCCTGAAGTCATTATGTTTGGACTTTTCTTCTTTACTAATATGTGCATTTATAGCCATAAATTTCCCCTAAGCTCTGCTTTAATGGTATTCAACAAATTTGTAATATGTGACATTTTCATTCTCATTAAATTTGAACTATTTTCTAGTTTCCCCTTTGATTACTTTTTTGACCCATGAATTATTTAGAAGTGTGTTGGTTAATCTTCAAATATGTGGGGTTTTCCTAAATATCTTATTCTTATTGATTTCTAATTTAAATCCATTGTGGTCAAAAAACATACAATATAAGCTTGTAATTTTTTTTCAAGAAATTTTTTAACAGGCCAGGCACACGGTGGCTCACACCTGTAATCCTAGCACTCTGGGAGGCCAACGGGGGAGGATCACTTGAGCTCAGGAGTTCAAGACCAGCCTAGGCAAGCACAAGACCCCATCTCTAAAAAAAAAAAAAATAAATGAATGAATAAATATTAAATAAAAAAGAATGTTTTTAATTTCCTTCTTAATCTCTTCATGACCCACTGGTCATTTGGGAGCATATTGTTGAATTTCCATGTGTTTGTATAGTTTCCAGTGTTCCTCTTGTTATTGATTTCTAGTTTTATTCCATTGTGGTCAGAGAAAATACTTGGTATGATTTCAATTGTTTTGAATTTTTTAAACTTGCTTTGTGGCCTAACATATGGTCTATCCTTGAGAACCATCTATGAGCTGAGGAGAAGAACGTGCATCTGCAGCTGTTGGACGAAATGTTCTATAAATATTTAGTAGGTCCATTTGGTCTATAGTACAGATTAAGTTCAATGTTTCTTTGTTGATCTTCTGCCTGGATGATCTGTCCAATGCTGAGAGTAGAATGTTGAGGTCTCCAACGGTTATTATATTGGAGTCTATCTCTCTCTCTCTTTTTTTACTCATTCATTATTTTATTATCTGGTTAAAGAAAAAGGGCTTTTTCATTCTTCCTTTTTCTCCTTTGAGATGCCTTTGATATGTCCTATCTTATGGCAAACACCACTAAACTTCACACTCTAAATTCTAGTTGAGGTCACAAATGCAATGACCATCTATAGACAAAATACCAGTGAAGCTGGAATTTAGTTAGTTATTTTTTTTCTATCTCTTTACTTCTGATAATGTTCACTTTATATATCTGGGTGCTGCAGTGTTGGGTGTACATATATTCAGAATTATTTTATCCTCTTGCTGAAATAATCCCTTTATCATCTTATAATGACTTTCTTTGTCTTTTTTACAGTTTTTGTCTTGAAATCTATTTTATCAGATAGAAATATAGCTATTGCTGTTCTTTTTTGGATTCCATTCACATGGAATATCTTTTTCCATCCCTTTATTTTCAGTGTATGTGTGTCTCTATAGGAGAAATGGGTTTCTTGCAACATATTGAGGTATAGTTTTAAGAAGCCTCGACAACATATGAGGTATAGTTGTCTCATTGTTTTATCCATTCAGCCACACTATGTCTTCTGATTGGAGAGTTTAGTCCATTCACATTCAGTGTTATTATTGATAGGTAAGGACTTACTACTGCCATGTTTATTTGATTTCTAGTTGTTTGGTGGTCCTCTTTTCCTTCCTTTCTTCCTTTTCTTCCTTCCTGTCTTCCTTTGTTAAAAGTGATTTCCTCTGGTAGAGTATTTTAATTTCTTGCATTTTATTTTTTGTGTATCAATTGTAGGTTTTTTGATTTGAGGTAACCATGAAGCTTGCAAAAAATATTTTATAACCAATTATTTTAAACATGTGACAACTCTGCTTATAAACAAACATAGACTATAACAATAAAGAAGTTTCCACTGAATTAAGATGTTTCAATATCTGAGTACTTCATGATTTCACTCTCTGAGATAATACTTTTATTTTTCTCTCTCTTCGAGATAATAAAGATAATGCTGAATAAGAAGCACAAATATATAAGCCTAGCACATAAACATATTTCACTGTATTTTCAACTGATTAGTTTGACCATTATTTTACACTAAATTCGCCTAAGTTTTTCTGAATCGTTCAATTTTATAACTTATTTTGATCAGAGGTAATATTCAAATTATTCACAGCTAGAACTTTGGGAATACCCCCCAATAAGAATGCAGAGCTAAAGATAAACAACAAGGGTGGTTGCATTGCTATGTACAATGTGTTCCAGCATGAACTGATACACCTTCCAGTTTATTCAGGTGGTATGGGTTTATGTACTGCCTACACCAGCCTCACTTTCCTAGTTGTAGACTGAAAGAGTGAATGAAGTTTACGATCACCGTAGAGTGGAAATAAATAATATAGCCAAATTTCAAAACTATAGCTAAACAGAGGTAGAAAATCCATAACACAAATATGGGCAACAGAAGTGGCATGCTTTGAAAATATGTTAGGAGGCATTTATGCAAGCTTTGAAGCATGTTACTAGATTGTCATGAAGCCAGGTAAAATAGACACTATCTAAACGAGCCCCTCACACAAATCCTTCACAACCATGATGTATCTGGATATGTGTGAAGCTGTTCTCTGCCATACCCAAACCTTTCATTATACTTTTACAAACATTTAAAAATTAGTTAGAGGGTTCCTTTTTGCCTGAAGATGTGCACTGATTAACTGAAGTGTTCTGCATTATTCAGAGGCCAGCTGAGTGTATCCCAGTAAAATTTAAGCCAAATATTCCCCTATGTTTTAATAAACTAAAATTTCATGGAGACTCTTAGCCATTCACATTGAAAATCAGTTTCTCGGATTCATTGTTCAGTATGACTTATTTCTCTGAATCCTTGAGAATAGTGAGCACATACTCAATAAAAAGCTGATCATTTAATTAAAACAGAAGGACTACTTGAGTCACCCTGGATTCCAAACTTTGTAAGGATTTAGATGATTTTGCTTATAAGCTTTGAAACACCTTGACCTAAATTTATAGCTACAATGATTTACAGGCTTGCTATATGTGCAACAAAGTGTGCAGGCATTTTAAATAGATTATGTCATATTATCATTCTAACCCCATTGCAGCGTAAATGTTATCTATTTTCTAGAAATTACATTTTTCAAAGGTATAAAGAGTTCTTCAGTGTCATAAAGCTAGTAAGTGACTGACTCCATGTTCAAACCCAGGTGTGCCTAAAGCCAAAGCACACAATGTCATTTAGGTAACAGAATTAAGTACCCATGATTTTGTTTTTAAAGTGTCAAAATAATTTTCTTGGCAAATGTCAAAAGATCGTTAAGAAGTGAATAAATATAAGTGAAAAACAAATGTCAAATGATAAAATTCAGATTTAAGAAGCTCAGATAAAAGCAACACATATTTCCTAAGGTAATAAACAACAAATATTTCCAAATTGTCCTCAATTGGACGTTGTTAGAAGAGGTTTTTCAAACTTTCTTCCTTGAGAATTTTTAGCACAATACTGAATTATTTGACTCAAACTGGTTTCATTTCCCTACTCATTAATAGAAAAGCAATGTAAAGCTAGCAAAATAAAGTAGCTGAAAGCTAATCATAACATTCTATAGCCTTTATTTATAAATTTGAATATTTGTGTCAATATGAAATATATATAGAGAGAGAAATGACACACACACACACACACACACACACAGAATGAGCGAGCAGGAGAAAGAAAGAATGAGAGAGAGAGAGAGAGAGAGAGAAAATGCCAATAAAAATTTTAAACAAGGCATTATTGCCTCAAAAGCACCACATTCATGCATCTTCACAGTTCCTTCCCCAACCTCCAAGTGTCTCTCCTGTCTCATCCTTACCTCCAGTCATCTTTTGAGAGATTGATCAAAATATTCATTTCCTCATCCTCTTGCAGGAGACGATAGGCTGCGCTCAAATGGTGATTTTCCAGCACAGATCTATCGTTGTACAGAATAGCCGAATCAGACCTGAACAGAAAGCCAAGCAAAACTGAGCATGTTCACCAGTTCAGACTTCTCCCCTTACCTCTCACGGGCGAGACTGCACTGTTACTTTTTCCTATGTTTAGAAATTATCTTTGCCTCCGTGCCATTTATATGAACCAAATGCTCAACCAATACTACAAAGCAAAAAGACAATGTGAAGACTTTAAAATACTATAAATCATCAACAGGTGGACGTAGAGTATTTTACTATGAATACATATGTGGGTAGGAAATATGTGACATCCAGCCTCAGAACTCTCTGAAAACTATTTTATAACAAGATATCAATTGCCTGTACTAGTAGCAAAAAAGATTTTTTAGAATGTCGGTCAAGCCAGACTTCCTTATATTTTCTGGAATAATGTTAATTTTTTATTTTTATTTCATTCAGTGAACACACTGGTTTATTTATTTCAGGTGTAATTTGTGGAAGTCATACCACCTGGTAGGTACTATCTACAAGCTGCCTCTGATCTTGCCCTTAAATTTTTCTATGCAAAAGCCACATGTGGAAGGAAGATTGAGAGTAAAGAATATAAAGATTTTAAGTCAGTGGTTAGTCCCTTTCTCAGAGACCGTTCTACAAACGAATGTCACCAAACTCAGGGCCGTATGCTACTTTAATACCTTTCATTTAATGAAAGCCTAGATTATTAGAGTTTATCTGTTTCTCACCAAGGAAGCTTAGTTCCAGAGGTTTAAAGTGACTTTTACAGGTCTTCTGACACACCAGTGCTTCTCAAGATTACTTCCACCTGTCATTGGCCAAACTTTGGGATGTATCTAGCATCCCTTGAACGTGTGTTAGGCTTAACATTTTATCCATCAAAGGATAAACGACCTAGTCACGGACTTAGTTTTCTGAATGGGGATCACATGGGCTGAGATGTTTTGGATAAAGTTCTGTTGAAGAGGGCCAATGTTTAAATTTCATTCCAAATCAAGCTTAACTACACCCACTGGAATTTTCCCACTCCTACAGAGATAACACAAAACATTCAAATCCCGAGGTAAAGATCTGCTCTTTTTTTTTTTTTTTTTTTTTTTTATTCCAGGGTTTTGTGAGGGTACAAACATTGTAGTTACACTTTCTGTCTTTGCCTCACCCAAATGCGGGTTAAAGTCATGCCCTTCCCTCCCTTTAGTGCTCCCCGTGTCCTTTAGTTGTAGATTTCCCCCCCATCCCCCTAATCCCTAGAGAGTATTTCTGCCATGTGATCAACCTAGTGTTGATCAGTTAGTACCAATTTGATGGTGAGTACAAATGGATTCCATTCTTCTGCTCTTGTGGTGCCTCACTTTGGATAATGGGCTTAAGTTTAATCCAGAAAAGTATAAGAGGTGCTAGATCACTGTCGTTTCTTATGATTGAGTAATATTCCATTGTAAACATATACCAAATTTTGATAATCCACTCATGGATTGACGGGCACTTGGGTTGTTTCCACATCCTTGCAATAGTGAATCGTGCTGCCATAAACATTCGGGTGCAGATGTCTTTATCGTAGATCTGCTCTTATATCTGATGAGTAAATTAGGTACCAACTGATGTGTATTTTGTGACACGAAACTGTTTTCCAACTCCTGTAATTAAGCCGTTTTCCTCTGAGTTGTGACTGGTTTGGACACTGGTCTCCAGGCAAGATCCACGTACAGTTGTTCCACCCACCTCTCCTCCTTCGGCTGGTGCTATTCACCTTGGCTTCTGCTCAAAGCAAAGGTTCCACGCACAGACACACATTAAAGAGTCCTTCTCTATGGAATTCCCTGTGTTAAAGACCTTGGAACAGAACCACAAAAGGCTGCTTCAGCAGCTGAGACTACTCTAAGTGAGGAGGCAGGAGGGAGGAACCAAAGCCAGCAGCTTAAGTCCTTTTGTCTCCTTCCATTCCATTGAAATTCCCCTTCTGAACAGAGATCAGATGATATTGTCTTCTTTTGTGTACCCTGTAATTAAGTGTTGAGTTCATTAAATACATGTAGATTGATTTAATGAACACAAACCTATCTGGAGTATGCACCTGCTTTTTCAAGTGAAATCAGCAAGTATTTATTTGGTGTTAAACTCCCATCCCTCCCTGCTACATTCTTTCCTTTGCCTGGAGACCAGTATCAAAACCAGTCACAACTCAAGAGCAAAATGCCTTAATCACAGGAGTTGGAAGTGCCACCTTTCCCCAAATCCTAGCTTCTTTTGATTCATATGTCAAGGCTCAATTAACCCTACTGTCAGATTCTCTCCAGTTCCACATCATTGTCTCAGAGACAGTAAGTTCTTAGACCAGGAGATGGCAGACAAAGCTTCATCCTAAGGAGAAATGACAAGTGACTGGTGCTGCTTGCCTGGAATTCTGTGTTGGGAGGAGCACTAGGGATAAATCCACAGCTTAGCAAGAAAAAAATACCAAAATCAATGAGTGATGTCTGTTACAAGTCAGAAGGTTCAGAGCGGGGCACTTGGACCCATATTTAGGCCCCCAACAGAGGTTTGTGTACCTGTGTGCAGTTCATTTGGAAGGGGGCACAGGTTGCTTATGGTGAAGGCAGCCTAGAAGAGACAATCTAACTCCCTGGCCCCTCTGCCAGGAAGTGATGTGAGCACTGAGCAAAGCAGGGATGAATGAAATTAGAAAGGATGAAAAGAACATTTCATGAGAATCCCAGAGGTCAGATGGCAAGAAGGCTCAATTATCATTAATGTCAACAGAAACACTCCAATCATCACTGTCCTTATTGATCTAGTTTATGTGGCATCTGGATCCTTATGAAAACTACCCCACCTCCTATTAAAATAGAGTATGCATAGAACATACATAAGTAAACAAATAACAAGCATTAGAATAGAGAAGAAATGGAAATCCATGTTATATCCAAATAAAATATGAGAATTAGGAGCAGGTGGCTTCTTAAACTCCAAGTCGTGATTAAAGCTGATCAGGCTGATCTCTTGTTTATAGGTTCATCTTTTCAGAAACTCAAAATAGGACAACCATGCAAAAGAAAGGTGACTCACACCTTTCTAACTTCTAAAACTCTAGCCCTGTCCCCTCCTCCTCTTCTCCAGTCATTTCAACATTCTCACCGAGTCTGAATGTGGAAATTGTTGGTAGTTCCGGTATGCTCATAGTCGTGGATGGCAGCTGAGAAGATTATAGCAAAGATCTCCAGCTCTGTCAGCCAGTTCTGAAAAGGAGATTACAGAGCAATCAGATAATCTGTTTCTTTCTCAAAGTCTTCAGCTTGCTGACAACACACCCACACTGCTGCCTCTCCACCCTACAGCTGGTAAACTATTGCCAAACACAAGTTTTCTGAGACACAGAGATAAGTTTTTAAAAATTTTTTCCTGTGAAGAGACTGGGGAACTTGTGATTTAAAAAAAGCATGCCCAGCAAGGTTGAAAGAACTAACTAGTTAGTTTTATCTTTTTTAAGAAAGCAAAAAGACAGTGAATGTGAAAACTTTAAAAGTCCTCACGGCATCCTCTTCCAACTTCCAAATAAAGTTCCTAGGCAGACACCACACACACACACACACTTTAAAAATTTCAACACAATACCAAGAACTAAGAGTAATAGAATACCTAATGTCTGATTATAGGAGAAATATCCACTACACAGTGGGTAGAGACAGATGGAGAAGTAACACTTGGTTTTCTGCCCTATGCATGTTGATGTTTGAAAAGACTGGTCCCCATGCACACCATTCAAAGTTAGCTGTGGTTTGGCCACATATGTATTACATATGTATGTGCCTTTTCATTTTGGTAATGTCTTTCTTTTTTCCCCAACATCCTATCCCCAACCATCTTCGCTAATGACTCTCCACCCATTCTCCCACATGGATCTCTTGTTCTAAGCTCATGCCAAAGTCAATTTCACATCTTAAAATAAGATTATGAATGGGAGACAGTGTAACATTTAAACAAGTCTGAGCCAGAGAAAGAACATCAGTCCAGCCAGCAGAAAGTGTCTAAATAACCGTATAATTACAATTCCACATTACAAATATCAGTGACACTTCCCTCCTTACCCAAATACACTAATGAAATTGCATCTTACGTATAACCTACATATAAACCAAAACCAATGAATGATTAAATAAGCATTCAATAACAACAATAAAAAAACCATAGTCTTTAAAACTCATTTTAACACCCTAGCTTTTCAAAAAACACTGTGGACGCTTAGAATCAGTTATGCTGCTTTGGGAATAAGAAGAAAGAAACGTGGTATCTGGCAAAGGAAAGGAAAGGAAGGAAGGAAGAGAAACAGCTTCTTAGAGGAGAGACATTTAAGATGGTCCTTGAAGACTGGGCAGAGCAAGAAATGAAAGTGGGCATTTTCAGAAGAATGAACAAAATAAGCAAGTCCTAGGAGCAATCATCTCCGAGTAAGGAAATGATTCTCTTGACTGGAATAGGAGTTGGGGCTGATTGAGACCCTGTTATGTCAGGCATTAAAAGCCAGAGTGGGTGGAAATGTCAACTGGATTCAACAGGCTGTGAATTTTACTTGCAAGAGAGTAACATAATCAGTGCCCCACTTCAGGAAGGGTATTTGGGCAGGAGCAGAGAAGAGAAATATAAGAGCAGTATTTTCAGATTGAAAAGTTCTTACAGGATGTATAGACAGTATGAAGGTAGAATCCATATGATTTAGCAATTAACTGAATTTGGGGTAGGATGAGGGGACAGAAACAGGTTGCAATCAAGGAGGACAATGAATGAAAGATGACCCCAACACTCCTAGCCCGCATGGCTGAAAAACTCTGGGTGGTATGAGAAGGCACCATTAATAGAAAGAGAAGGTAGGAGAAGCTCTTTGAGGGGAAGTCAGGCTTCATATTTTAATATGGCTCAGATTTCTTTGTCTTTTCCAAATTAATTATTGTGAACACTGGAGGTTTTATGTCAACCCATAAGAAGTCAGAAATTTAAGTTTCCCCGGTGTTTTATTCCAGAAATATCAAACTGTGGCAAGGTACAAGTCACAGCTCCTACCAGTGTTTCCCTATCTACAAAATACGAGTGTCACAATTAATTCAGTGACAGGGATGCCTTGAAAAACGGTAATGGTGGACTCTGAATTTTGCTATGTATGGTGCAGGCAAGGAGGCTGAATGTGTGTGCCTGTAGGGGCCGAGGGGGAGACATGGGATACAACAGGCCAGAGGAAACCCAAAGGGAAGAACGTGCACAATTTCCTATTGCTAGAGGAGACATTATTAGCAAGTTGTGACTTTGATATAGGAATGATAGAGCTTCTTTAGTAATCTGTTTCCACCTCTATATTAGTTTTTCATTGCTACCCTAACAAATTACCACAATCTCAGAGGCTTAGAGAACACCTCCCAATAACGGGCACACAGTTCTGTAGGCCATTGTGGATGGGTTCTCTGGTAGGGGTCTCACAGGCTGACATCAAGGTGTGGGCAGTGTTGCATTCCTTCCAGGTGGCTCTGGGGGGAAATCTGCTTTCAGGAGTATCCAAGGCATCAGCAGAATTCATTTCCCTTTAATGCTTTCCACTTAGCCCCCTCTACCTGCAAGCTATTATAGCAATGGCCGGTTGAGTCCTTCTCACACTTAACCCTCTCTGATTTCTCCATCTCTCTTTAACTTTGACGAACTTGTATGATTACACTGGGCCCACCTGGAGAAACCAGGCTACTCTCCCTATTTAAGGTCTTCTGATTGGTAACCTTAACTGTATCTATACTGCCATCTAATGCAACATATTAATGCATGTGACACCAGAGGACCAAGGTCATGGGGGCCAAATGACTACCAATCACAACCCCTAATAAAATTATTTAGCACTCTTCAACCAAGATGTCATTTTGATATTTTTAGTGTTCCCCTTATAAGTATGATGATGCCATATATGATCAAAAGAACAAGATACACAGCTTCTCCTTTCTTTCTTTTTTTTTTTTTTTTTTTTGAGACAGAGTCTCACTCTGTTGCCTGGGCTAGAGTGCCGTGGCATTAGCCTAGCTCACAGCAACCTCAAACTCCTGGGCTCAAGCAATCCTACTGCCTCAGCCTCCCGAGTAGCTGGGACTACAGGGATGTGCCACCATGCCCGGCTAATTTTTTCTATATATTTTTAGTTGTCCAGCTAATTTCTTTCTATTTTTTTAGTAGAGACAGGGTCTTGCTCTAGCTCAGGCTGGTCTCGAACTCCTAAGCTCAAACGACCCACCCGCCTCGGCCTCCCAGAGTGCTAGGATAACAGGCATGAGCCACTGCGCCCGGCCCACAGCTTCTCCTTTCTGAAAACACAGGCAAAAAGAAAATTATTAGCACCTCGCCTGACAAAAGCAATGAAAATGGCCAAGGAATAGCTTCAGACTTTGGAATCTTTTGACCTAAATCCAAAGTAGACTGGAGCTTGGAGTCTTATTAATATCTATTCAGTGAATAACAACTCTTCAATCTAATTCTGTTCAAGGATTTTCTCTTAGAAATGAGCAAAATAGTTCTGAAAGGATTCAAGCGTCTTTTAGGTCCTTAAGTTAAACAATAATGAGTAATACAAACAGATTATAATGAGTAATACTGTTGATGTTGAAGCCCAGACTTCACTTTATCAATGGGATGTTTTGATTCCGTAAGTGTCTTACAGTTTATAACACTGAAATGATTTAAAGTATTTTCTCCCTCTTGGTTTGTAATGAAAGGTTAGAGTAACAAGATGTTCTCCATTCATCAGAATGTTCCCCATTGTTTTTGTAAGCTCAAAATGAAAGAAGTTTGTTTTGAGCAGCATTTCCAGGAGAGAGTGGGTGGGAAATAGTTTCTATATTTAAGAACTATTCTGAATATGGCCTGAATTGATAATGAAAATTCAGTAACAAATGGCAAATGAGCTTGTTTAAGAACAGTATGCAGTATGTCATGATCACTGGCTGCTATGATACAACATTTATGTTAATCTTAACTTGTATTAGCATAAATGCTGGGAGCTTTTCGCAAGAGCTGAAGAAGCTGTATATGATTCACATTTTTATCTCCATAGAATACTGTGCACAATAGGTACTGACTAAATATATGTTGACTACATGAACTCAAAGTGCATTTCTGCATCCATTTTGGTCCTCACCACAATATCTGGAAGTAAGAGCACATGAGGATACTGAGGTATAAGAATATAGGGGTCTCCTTTATTTGCCACAGGCTTGTAGAAGCATGGCTAAATATTTAAATGCATGGCCTTAGAAGTTAGACCTGGGACCAACGCTTGGCTCCTCTACTATATTAGTTTGCTAAGGCTGCCATAACAAAATAACACAAACTAGGTAACTTAAACAACAGAAATTTATTTTCTCACAGTTCTGCAGGCTAAAAGTCCAAGATCAAGGTGTCAGCAGGATTGGTTTCTCCTGAGGCCTCTGTCTTTCCCTTGCAGATGGCCATCTTCTATGTCCTCACAATGGTCTTTCCTCTCTGCATGTGCATGTCTGTGTCCTGATCTCCTCTTTTTATAAGGACACCAGTCATATTGGAGTACAGTCCACCCACATGACCTCATGTTACCTTAATTACCTCTTTAAAGACCCTCTGTCCAAATGCAGTCACATTCTGAGGTACTGGGGGCTAAAACTTCAATCTACATATTTGTGAGAAACACAGGTCAGCCCATACATTGATTTTATAACAAGATAATCTTAATCTCTGTTAATGAGAGTTTCCTATTTTTTAAAATAAGGATAATATTACTTGCAGTGGCAATCACTGCTAGTTGCTCAACTCTTTCCTTTTCCTTACTAACCCTGTCTCTGATTCTATTTGGGATGGTAGTATGTTCAGCCTTCCTTATGTATTGCAGTGGCCATGTGACACAGCTCTGGCCAACAAAATACAAGTGAAAGTTACTGGGCTGGATTTCAGGATAGTTGTTTAAAAATGAGCAGATTTATTTGGTTTGCACCGTTTATCTTCTTCCTTATCTCTCTACTTGGATGTGCAGTGGTACATCAGCCATTTTACAAGCAGAAGAACAAAAGCACATGCCAAAGAGAAGTGGGAAGGAGTCTGAGAAGAAGACTGTTGCTGGTGAGGAGCCCCCACACCATGCCTGGATGGCTCTTTGGACAGACCGCACAGATGCAAAGGATACTCACACCACTGGCCCACTGGATATTCATTTACAAATACATTCCAACAACCAAAGATCACT